TGTGTGTGTGTGTGTACCGTCAAATCAGATTTGACTGGTACAGGAGGAGATTGTTCCTCCTTCTCCAGCAAAGCATCTGGTGGATTTGAACCGCTCATCTCTGGGATTGCAGTGCACCTTCTTGCCACTAGGCCACCAGAGCTTGCCAAAACAAGGACTTTTTAAGCTCTGTCTGCCATACATTGGGCATGTGTCCAGGAGGGACCAGTCCTTGGAGAAGGACATCATGCTTGAAAGGGTGGAGGGATGGTGCAGGAGAGAAAGACCCCGGATGAGATGGATTGACCCGATAACTAGGACAATGAAGTGTGTCAGAGTCAGTGAGATTGGCTCAGGATAGAGCAGGGTCAGAGCTGTTATACATAGGTTCGCTATGAGTTGCAGGCAACTCAATGGATCATAACAGCAACAAATAAGAAATCTTCTATCCCCTACTCCTTGGCTTTAGTTGTTGGAGCACATATGGAATGACAGTCATATTGACAGGTCTTTCTTGTATGCATTGGGATATTATCCTGTCACTTACAATATTGTGCTTCCTGATGGATCTAGAAATGGTCTTGTAGACAGTGACTACAACCCCCTTTTCCTTCACTTTTCAGTCCCTGTGTAGTAGATCCTACTATTGTCTGATTGAAAGTGGCCAGTGCCAGTCCCTCTCAGCTCGCTAATGCCTAGTATGTCACTTGTGTGCTGTTGAGTCAGCATTGACCCATAGCTGACCCTCTACACCCTCCAGGAGCAAAAAATTGCAAAAGACTTTGTCCATCCTTCTTCTGTGGAGCAGCTGGTGGATTTGAACATAATGTCTTTGGGATTGAAGTGCAGTTTCTTAACACTGGGCTACCAGAACATCCTTGTATATTACTAGAGCCAGACAATTTTGATGAACACCTTTAGGACAGCTTTGGTACCCATCTGGCCACTGGAGATTTCTCTTACTTTCTAATGCACCCAACAATGTGTCTCTCATCAACTTTGACATATTTTTTTAATGTTTCTCTTGCTTTGTGCCCTTGAGTTGACTTATACAATGGCTCTGACGCTTGCACTATCCCGTGGCACCCTCACCATCTCCAACACACTTGAGCTCATTGTTTCAGTCACCATAACAATTCATCTCATTGAGGGTCTTAGGAGCAATTTTTCTCCCACCTAAATGTGTAGTCTGGCTATTGTGAAAAATAGTACTCTTTTTTGTTATGTATTGTCCAACAAATTATGTATACACCTTATGTCTGTTGTTGTTATGAGCTATCAAGTCGACTGTGACTCCTAGCAATTCTATGCACAGTAACCCCAAAGCCTGCCCTGTCCTGAGCCAGTCTCACTGACTCTGACACACCTACCCTCATTACCCCAGTTACTGTGTCAATCCATCCCACCTGGGGTCTTCCTCTCCTGCGCTGTCCCTCCATCCTTCCAAGCATGATGTCCTTCTCCAAAGACTGGTCCTTTCTGGAAATATGCCCAAAACATGTAGGATGGAGCTTCAAAATCCTTGCCTCCAAAGAGAAACTTGGTTTCATCCTCTCCAATACAGACCTGTTAGTTTTCTTGGGGAATCCATGATATGTTCAATGCTCTTCTCCACCATCACAATTTAAACACATTGATTTTTCTTCTGTCACCCTTATTCATTGTCCAGCTCTCTGATGCATAGCAAGTAATTGCAAAGACAATGTCTGTTGAGACCAATTATATGCATAGAAAAATGAAGAGAACCCTTGTGGCCTTTGAAAGTTTCGCCTTCTTGTGAATGTACATGTTTTGCTGATTCACCAAGATAGCTCTGCTGGAAAAATCCAGGTCAGGTTCCCCTCCTTCTGGCCCATAATTCTGGTCTATCTTCCCACTAGCGAGAAGCTTACCTGGTCTATTCTTCATCTCTTGGGAAACTGATCTATATTTCTGTATTTCTGAACCTTACTAGGGCTATCAAACTCTCATATCATAGGAGGAAATTGTCTATCTTTGACTTTGGCTACAAAAGTCAAACCAAGCCTGTTGTTATAGAGTGCAGTTCATGCATAAGAGCAGAGGGTTCTGCCCTCTAGAGCTCTCTGGACTGTAATCTTTAGAGAAGCAGATTGACAGATCCTTCTCCTGTAGTCCCTCTCACTAGGTAGATTCAAATCACCAGTTTTTATGTTAGTGTTGTTAAGTCAGACCAGACTTATAGCTAATATTTCAGCTGATTTTCAGAGGCTGCAAATTGCACAGGAGGAGACTGCCCATCTTTCTTCTGCAGAGCAGCTAGTGGATTTGAACCACCCACCTTTGGGTTGGCAGCGCAACTCCTTACCCACTAGGCCACAAGTCCTCCCAAACCACTTGTGCAGGATCAAGTGATTGGTTTTGCAATTGGCCCTATACAATATATGCTTGAGAAGAAGCTTTTTCCTCGCCTTTATAGTGGGTTGTTATTCTCTAAGTCACATTTTATAAATAACAGTTCCTAGGGGCCATTGTTGGACTGATGCCGATTTGTTTTGTTTTCAGTATATACTTAAGTTCAAATCTATTTTGAGGAGCCTGAGCCTCCCTCTAAAGTAACAATCTGTTTCCCTCTATCTTTCTATTTAAATCTTAGCGCCTTTAAAAAAAAACAAACACCTCCCTGTGTCTTTGAATCTAGCCTTTCTCTAAATAGATTCTCTGAGCTGATTTCCTATAAAATGAGTGGACTAAACAAAGTTCATACATTTATTTAACCTACACTCTCATAGCACCTCAGGGGCTACTGGAGAGTGCTGGAGATGAGGCTGTGGGGACGCCATGGCTTTATCTGCTTTACATACTGGATGTGGAGTGAGATGTATTTTGAATGGAATCTCAGAACTGAAACACCATGTGGAGCCCACCAGCCCGAGTGATCTCTGGTGTTGGTGGCTAACTCTTCCTTTAAACACCAGTCCTGTTTCCTGAGCTATAGGGAGAGAGAAGGGTTCCTTACCAACACTACTGATCCCCCATTCTTGTGGCAGGTACCTCTTTCCCAGCCAACCCCCTAACTCTGTTCCTGGTTCCATTTCTTGTTCCAGGAAGGATGCCACCAGTGATGAGAGTGTTGGCGCTGTTCCCGCTGCTGCTGTCCCTGGGCCAGGCTGCTCCCAAGGAAGGAGCCACGAGGTAGTGGATGGCGAGGGCCGGTGGTACTATGGGTAGAGTTGTTGTTGTTGTTGTTGCTAGATGCCGTCGAGTATAGCTCACAGTGACTCTGCAAACGCGCATCTGAACCCTGTCCTGTCCTGCGCTACCCTCTTCATCTCTGATACACTCGAGTCTCCAGAAAACCCGAGGGTGGTCCAGGCCCCTCTGGGAGACACATCGCTGATCCCTGTAGCCCGCCCATCTCACCCTCTTGCCTTGTGCCTGTCAGAGTGCCCTACACAAAGTAGGCACACAATGCACCTTTGTGGGACTTATTTGGAAGCAAGGAACTCATCTCCAATGAAGCTCAGCAAACCAGAAAGAAGCCATAGGCCAATTCTGACCCAATGGTACATAATAACAATAGCACACCAGCAGAGAGAGCTCTGGCGTCCCAGTGAGGAAGGAGTCGTATTGTCAACCCATAGACAGGGAGTTTGAGCCCACCAGCTGCTTCTGGAGAAGATGGGCAATATTCTCCCGTGGATTTGCTGCCTATAAAAACCCTGTAGGGGCAAACACATTCAGTCCCAGACTTCCCTCCCCCACCTCACAAGTGCCCAAACAAAAGACTCATCCTGGTCCCTGGCATCCAGCAATTCCCTGGAGACTACTGTCTTGGGTCGCCGACCAGTGTCTGCTTGGTGTAACCTGGTTTGGCCTCTAAACAGGTTTTGGGTGTTTTGCTGTTGTTGTTGTGTATGGTTGAGTTGGATCCTATCTGCACAGGAGATTGCCCCTCCGTCTCCAGCCTAGCTAGTGGATTCGAACCGTGTGCCTTTGGGATTGCAGCACAGCTTCTTAGCACTAGGCCACCGGAGCAGCCCTTGAACAATTTTGTTGTTGTTCCTTTGGAGTGCATTTTTTGAGAATTTACCACCTATGAAAACCTGTTGGAGGGTCAGCTATGAATCTGTTCACAGCACTTAACAATAACAAGCACAATTAGGGAGCTCCGGGAGCATAGTGCACAGAGAGACGCCCTGCTAACCTCAGCTCACTCTGGGTTCACATCCGTCAGCTGCTCCGCTGGAGAAAGGCGGGCAGATTTCCTCCCATGTGATTTATAGCCTCTGAAACTCAACAGAAGGTCAACTTTGAGTTGGTTCCAACGTGGCGACAAGGCGTGAGTGAGCATGAGGTGTTTTGAGCACCTCTTTCCAGGTTCTGGCTGCTGATTGTTTGCCGTGAGCCATGCTGGGTAGTAGAGACAGGGCTGGCAGCAGTGACAGAAGTTACTGGAACCACCCCAGGTAACCCACTGGGGTAGCAGGTCTGGGGAAATAGGTAGTTCTGGGAGCAGCATATAGACCCTGAGCAGGTTAAAGCCCCAAAACCCAAAAAGCCCAAAACCCAAAAGATATACCCTCTGCTTTGATTGGGGTGGAGGGTGGGGAGATATACCAATGTTTTATCATGGGACAAATTGGCTTTTGTATAAAACTGGGCATGTCACCCACTCAGGCCCAGACCTGCCTCCCGCCCCCCAGTGCCCACGCAGAAGAGCCGCCGTGGTGCCTGGTGATCTCTGGCTCCCCGGCGACTGCTTCCTTGGGTCTCCAGCTCACGCTCTGCTCAGTGTGGCCTCATTTGACCGCTCTCTAAGCAGATTTTTAAGTTTTCACCGAAAACCAAAACCAGACAGCTACAAAAGCAGTCTGAGAGAGTGAGGATCTACTCTACTTCTCAGGCGACCAGAAGGGCCTCCTCCTCACCAGGCTGTGGGGTATTCTGAGGAGCAAGTCCCTTTGGCTTTGTGGAGAGGACCCCAGCTGCTGCAGGTTTGGGGGGTGGAGGCCCTGCCAGGAGGAGGCTGTTTGCAAGGCTGGTCCTTCTTCCCTCCCGCCTCCAGGCACAAGATTGAAGAGCTGCAGCAACCCCTGCCCAACCCCTTCATGCCAGGCGAGGAGCAGCTCCGGTGAGTGGGCTGGGCTGGGGGTCTGGGACTGGGTGGGGGCCTGAGGCTGGGGCTGATCTGCCCATTTTCTAACAGCCTTCTGCAGCGCTACCTGAAAGGACTAGAGAGGATGGAGGAGGCTCCAGAACACATGGACCGGGAACAGGGTGAGAAGCTGGGCTTGGGGGACGGGTGTCGGCCTGTAGACCCCGCCTTCTCCGCATCCCTTGCTGCCTCTTCTGACCCAGCTTCTCCTCCTCAGTTCTCCTCTACGTCTTTGCCCTGCACGACTACGATCAGAGTGGCCAGCTGGATGGCCTGGAGCTGCTGTCCATGCTGACGGCAGCACTGGCCCCAGAAGCTGCTGACTCTCCTCCCACCAACCCGGTAAGCAGGCATAGGGCCTTCTCCCACAGTGGAGACCTGCGCCTTGGGGCTTTGGCTTTTCTCCCCATGGCTTTTGTAGTGAGCCCTCGGTCAGAGGAGGGGGAAGGCTGCACAGCAGGAATGCAGGGGTACAGGGCAGGGCCTCCTGGGAAACAGCCCAGGCCACTGTGCACATCTGCACCTGCAGGTGATCCTGGTGGTGGACAAGGTGCTCGAAACCCAAGACGTGAACGGGGATGGACTCCTGACTCCCGCAGAGCTCATCAACTTGCCAGGAGAGGCCCCTAAGGTGCCCCCTGCCCCAGCTCTCCAGGACACACATGCTAGTCCAAGGCAGGCCCCATTAGCTAACAGCCCAGATGAACAAGAAAGGCCAGGAGCTCTGAGTCTCAGCGAAACTGGGGAACTAGGAGAGGCCACAGTGGAGTCTTTGGAGCCTGTACAGGAGGTGGGGGAACCCGCAATGGCTGAAGCAGAAGCCCTGGGCCCTGGAGAGGAGGCTGGAGGACAGGTTGAGGTGGAAGAAGTCCCAGGACCTGGAGAGGAGGACAGGGGACAAGTGGAGGCCAAAGACACCGTGGAGGAAGCAGAAGTCCTTCCAGGAGGATCTGTGCAGTCTCAGGACACCGCCCAGACGTTAGAGGCCCACGCGGTCCAGCTGGAGAACGACGAGATATAAACCGTGATGTGTTCTCTTAGATGTCTCAATGCCAGGACAAGGGCCCAAAGGGCAGAGTGCTTGGGTAAGGGCCACCCAGGTATCCCATGCCTGGCTCCGGCAGGGTAGTAGGTCTTTCTGTGCAGCTCAGGGAGACCCCAAGTTGGGGAATGGCTTTTAGGACCCAGACAACCAATAAAGACCTGAATGAACTTATCTGCCTGGGCCATCTATCAACCAGCCCATCTGGTGCAGACCCCAACAGGGACACATGGGGGTTGGGACGGGACAGGCCTCTTGGAGGAGTAAAGAATCAGCCTTCCCAGTGTCTCCACAGCCTGGTGGGGTTGAGACACAGCCATCTATGGGGCTGGGATGTGGGCAACCCAATAAAGATAGCTCAGTCCATGCCTGGGGCTGTAGCACTCTGCTTTTCCGTCCTCACCTGATGCCTACTCACCCTCTAGTGGCCTCCCCTACATCAAGGCAGATTCCTCCCAGCCATGTACCTGCCTCCTACTCTCAGTAATGTTGGCGTTATGTGCTGTCGAGTCAACTCCAACTCATAGTGATCCTATGTACAACAGCTCTAAACCCTGCTCTATCCTGAGCCAATCTCATAGACTCTGACACACCCACTTCAACTACCCCAGTAACGGAATCAATTCATCTCATCAAAGGTCTTCCTCTCTTGCACTATCCATCCACCCTTCCAAGTCCTCTCCAAGGGCTAATCCCTCTTTGCAACATGGCCTCCAAGGAACAGCCTGGTTTCACCTTCTCCAGGATGGACTTGTATATTCTACTCCAGCTCTCTGATGCATAGCAAGTAACTGTGAAGACCATGGCCTGCATCAGGTGCACCTTAGTCTCTAGACTGACATCATTGCTCTTCAGTATGCTAGAGAGGTCCCTGACAGCAGGTTTTCCCAATGCAATTTATCTTTTGATTTCCTGACTGCTAGTACCAAGAATATTGTGGAGCCAAGCAACCTGAAATTGTTCACAATCTCAATCTCTTCACTGTCTATCATGAGGCTACCACTTGGCCCCATGGTGAGAATCTTTGTTTTCTTGATGTTGAAGACTACAGTCTTTGACCTTTTGCAGCAAATGCCGCAGGTCCTCCTCAGTTTTGGCAAGCAAGGTTGTGTCATCTGCACAACACAGGTTGTTGATGACTTTTCCTCTAATCCTGAGACCACATTCCTCCTCACAGAGCCCACTATCATTTCTCGAAAGAGCTCTGGTGGCTCAGTGGTAAGGAGTTGTGCTGTGAATCAAAAGGCATGCGGTTCAAATCCATCAGAGCTGCTCCACAGGACAAGGATGGGCGGTGTCCTCCCATGCGATTTACTGCCTCTGAAACCCCTTGAAGGGTGAGCAATGAGTTGGTTCAAACTCGACAACACACATCAATAACAGAAACAATAATTTACCGAGCGATTCCTTCTTACCAGGTGTCATACTGGGCCTTTTATGCACTAGCTGATTTTATCCTCACAATGGCTGTGTGGGTCAGGAAGAATTATTAGCTCCATTTGCCAGATTAGGAAGTGGGAGACCATCAAATAACCCAGCTACTTACACACCTTATTTACATGGCAGACTTGAATTCAGATCTTCCTGACTCCAAAGCCTCATGCTCTTTATCACATTATAGGACCCCACCTGCCTGCCTGCCTGCCTGCCATCGTGGAGTTAGCACTGCTCCCCTCCCCGATTCCAATCTGCCCACCTCGTGAACTCCTGGCCCTGAGGGACTGCAGCACTCTGTACCTCACACACAGGCAGCCTGGTGGGGAGGCACTGCCCTAACACAAGGTAAGCTCCGTGGAGGAGCTTTCTGAGGCAGAACTATTTGGACTGTAAAGGCCCCACCAAAAGGCTCCCAGCCCAGTGGTTGATTCAGCCAAGTGGACTCCGGCTCCCAGGCTGAGGGAGTGCAGCTTTCTTCACAGCATGGAGTCCAGAAGAGCTTTTTCAGTGTTTGGTCATTTGCAAAGCGTGCTGGGATGCAGGCTGGGGCTGTTGTTGTTAGGTGCCATCAAGTTGACTATGACCCATGGTGACTCTCTGAACAAGAGATCTAAACCCTGCCTTGTCCCGAGCCATCCTCACAATCTCTGTCATGTTCATTGTTAGTCACTGTGTCAGTCTGTCTTGTTGAGGGTCTTCCTCTCTTTCTCTCAGCCTCCACCTTTCCCAGCATAATGTCCTTTTCCAAGGACAGGCCCTTACTGACAACATGTCCGAATATATGAGAAGTTAAACCATCTTTGCCTCTAAGGAGCATTGTGGTTGCACCTCCTCTAAGACAGATACATGGGCAGGGAGGTGGGGTGGTGTAATCTGGGGAAGAATGAAAAAGAGAGAGAAGGAGAGTGAAAGCCTCTGGAGTTCCCAGCCAATGGCTAGACATCAAGAAAGGCAAATGCATTGGTGGGGTGAAGGAGGTTTATTTGTTCTGTGGTTCTGCAGGGTGAGACATGGAGGACAAGGTAGAAGGCAGAGTTCTTGCCACAGGCCACATCTCCGAAGGGAGCAAAGCAGCCCAGATACAGGCTTCCAGGGCTGGGTGGTGAGCCTCACACGATGCCATCGAAGCCCTGCAGGCCACACTTCCTGCCAGCCACCTGGCAGCCAAATCTCAGCGCCTCCTGCATGCTCTTCCCTGAAGGGAGACACAGGCCTGGGTCAGGGGCTGAGGGGGGTTCAGCCCACTCTCCTCCTGCTGGGATACTCACCCTGAGAGAGGCTGAAGATGACCGCGGCATTGAAGGTGTCTCCAGCCCCCAGCGTATCCACCACCCGGGGTGGAGGGAAAGCATCCGAATGCATCAGCCGCCCATCGGGGCCCAGGGCATCGGCGCCCTCCTCAGCCCAGGCACAGACAAGTGTCGCCCTGCAAGCTGTCTGCTTAGCTGGGGTGTTAGCCTATCTCCCCCCACCCCCGAGGGTAGACCTCTAGAATCTAGGATCCCACACTCCTCAAGCCCGAGGGTCCTGCCTGGGATCAATCCCCCAGCTCACCCTTTCCTCACACGGTTGTACAAGCCCCTCAGTGCCTCCGCTGCTGAATGGAACCCCAAGTGCTTGGCCACATCTTTGCTCACAAACACCTGTGGGCAGTGGAAGGGGGATCTCTTACCCTAGTTCCAGCTCTGCCCCTCACCAGCTGTGGCTAGAGTTTCTACTGTATTGTAACAAATCCCCCCTACATGGTGACATAAATCCCAACAAGGCACCTCACTATGCCACGTGAACATACTTTAAAAACCCAAAACAAGTCACAATAGTTTTGGCGTGGGGGGAAGAAAATGTGCAACAATAAATTTTTTTTTTTAAAAATCCAGTCTGTTTTGAATGCGGCCATGCACACAGTGGCATTAAAGTCCTGTCTCCTCCTTTCTGAGGGTAATGCAAGCCGTTAACATGCTTGGCTATGGAGGGTCAGGCTACCTGCTTTCAAAACCCTCTGCAAACCCTATGCAGGTCTACTGACAGATGTGAAGACACCAATGAGAGGAGTCAACTGGATGGAGTCAACTCATTGGACAAGAGTCAACTCATGGCACAGAGAGCAGAGAATTTCCTCACGCTGGGGACCACAAAGGGGCCTTGAGCGCCATCTGGAGGTGAAATCCACCACCAAAAAGTTACACGGCTGGATCTGAGGAGAGTTCTTTTCAGTTGGTCACTCCACACAATTCTGCCCTCCAAGTCTGGTTTCTTCATCGGTCAAACAAAACGATAGAGGCTCCAGGGCTTTCTCGACACTAAATCTTGTTGTTGTTAGGTGCCATAGATTGAACTACGCTTTGTAGAGACCTATGAACAAGAAATCTGAACCTTGGCTCTATCCTGTGCCATTTTCATCCTCTCTGATATACTTCAGCCATTGCCACAGTCACTGTGCCAGTCCACCTTGTTGAGAGTCTTCCTCTCCTTCACTGACCCTCCACCCTTCTATGCATGATGCCCTTCTCAAAGGATTGGCCCTTCCTATCAACATGCCCTAAGCATATAAGAACATGCTTCACCATCCTTGCCTCTAAGGAGAGCCGTGTTTACACTTTCTCCAAGTGTTGTTAGGTGCCATCAAATAGACTCGAACTCAGAGTGACCCTCTGTACAAAGTCCTCTCACTCCCCACCACCCTCAAGCCCACATTGCAGCGTTGTGTCAGTCTATCTCATGAAGTCTTCCACTCTCCACTTTACAAGCAAGGATTCCCTTCTCCAAGGACTGGCGGCCCTGAGGGCATGCCCAAAGTGGAATCACCAAAAGGCATTCTATTTAAACATACCGAAGTCCAGGTTCCACCACTGCCAGTCAAACTTTAAAAAGCAACTTAGAGAGCAGGGCTCAGATAATCAACGCTTTAAATGGTGGGTGCAGAAAGGAGCCAATGGGCAGGGTGGTCTTGCCTCTAACCTGCTTGGGCCAGGATGTCATAATTATCATTCACACTCCACTTACAGCCCAGCCCTGTTTAGATTCACCTTGTGCGTGTTCCCTTCCCACCATCTCCTCACTCCTTAATGGCTGCCACATCTCTCTACCCACTAGTGTACCTCAGAGAGCAATTTGCAGAGGAAAAGACTGAGGTGGCCAAGGGCCCTGCTTGGCCCTGTCAAGGCCTTCTGGCCACCCTTAAACCCTTGTGCCCATACAGAATGGAAAAAGGATATACTCATTGGCCACTGAGGATTCCTGGCTAGACGCCCAATGCTGGGGGTTCTGCCTCTTTGCTCTGCTTTCTCTGATCGGCTCTAATGATACCACCAAACCAAGACTTGATATTCCAGGAGTGGAAAGTAGGACAAGAATGAGCTGCTGTGCCGTATGTGGTGAGGAGGCTGGACGGGGTACTCACCACTTCTCCATAGCCAAACAGCTGGAATATCTCCTCTCGGGGTTTCTCCACTTCCACGGACACCCGGATCTCCTGCTCCCGAGGCTGCGTGGCATTGTGCTGCTCTATCCGCTGCAGCATCTTCACCTGCTCAGATGCATTCCGACCCTGGGGTGGAGCAAGCAGCTCAGGACCAGCTAGCTGGGCCCCACTCAGCTTTTCTAGCTCATTCTTCCTTCATCACTGGAACTCTAGGTGAGGGGGGTGACGGGCCTGAGCAGCTGAGCTAGAACCCCATCCCCAGTGATGAAATTCTAGAGCTGTCCAGCCCTCCCATTTCACCAGTCAGGAGGCTACTGAATTAAAGAGATGTTCTGAAGAACCTACAATTTAATGACAGAACTGGGATTTGAACTCAGGACTTCTGGTTTCCTCCCAGATTCCAAAAGTCCTGTCTTGGAATGAAGGTCCTAGCACCCTTGATTGGGAGCTGGCACAGGCCTGCATTCCTGCTGCCCCAGAGGTCAGCTGTCCTGCAGAGCCAGGTGAATACAAGAGCTGAGGTGGCCAGTGACACAGCAAGCACGGAGCTCTGCCTGGGACCAGCTGCACCTGTATGCAGCTGTGTGAGCCTTGAGTTATGTGCTGCTGAGTGGGAACTGACTCATAGCTGACCCTCCAGTGGGTTTGCAGAGGCAGTAAATCACACATGAGGAGAGCCTCAGTTTCCTCATCTGAAAACACGAGAGAAGACTGGATTGGGATGAGGGAAGTGGGATTCAGTTCTCTCTGAGGTCCATTCTGGTTCAAAGAAACCAAAGGAGGCAGAGCAGTGGGTGGGGCTGGCAGGTTGAGCTGCTCAGAATGCAGGGAGGGCAGGACTTGCCTCAATGTGGATCCACTTAAACCGATTGAGATCAACCTTCTCAAAGTCTTTGGCAGACACATCTGGCAGGTTCCTGTGCCATGAGATGGATAGAGAAAAGGGCACGGTGAGGTCAGCCAGGGCCAGGATCTCTACTGGCACCTGGGGCCCTCTGCCTGGTGCAGCCTGCAGCATAGCAGGAAGCTGGTCTCCAGCCCCTGAGTCTTGGGCTCAGCTCCAGGACAAGCCCTGTCCTAAGCTAAATTCCTAACCATTTCTCACCCCACTCAGGTCCTTCAAGACAGGGAGCTGAAGACATTTTGTTATAGGCTGCCTCTTCCAGTCAGACAGGTGATCTTTTATTTCAGACAGATTATCCAAGGACTCACTGAGCCCTGGTAAATGGGAAAGAGCCAGTGTCTTCTGTGCCTTGGAGACCACAACTCCCAGAATGCTCTAGGAGTATCAGAGCATACATTTCCCAGGATTCTCCTTTCTAGCAGAACACCAGCTCCTAGGATGCCGTGACAAAGTGACTGGCCACAATGCCCTGAGCTTGGATCTGACCCTACTCACTTTTAGCATCTGAACGTCAGTTTGCCTGTGGCGCTCACCACTGGCCTGAGTTTGGTAGGCAGTGTTGCAACCTCAGGCCAAGGTTGGCAGGTAGCCCTTAATGGGGTACCTGGTGTGTACCTGGTTGGTTCTCACTCACTGAAGGATTCTAGTGGTCAACGGTGCGCCTTTCGGGTTAGCAGGGCAACCTGGTACAGACTATGCCATCAGAGTTCTCAGTAGACTAAAATCTCAGGTTCTTCACAGGAGGCTGGGGGAGATGAGAACAGTCTAGACCCATAGGGTCTCTCCCCAGCAACTCGAGACCCTGGGAGGATCTCCCAGCAGACAACTCTAATCTGTTAACTCAACAGATTTCTTTCCCTCCCCTTCAGCAACATCAGCAAATTGCGTGTGGAGTATCAGGTCTGGCTTCATCATTCTGGGGCATTTGAGAGACACAACTCCTTAGAACACTCATATCCCAGCTCCCTGATGCCAGGCTGCAGGCATGGGAATCCCTGTGGATCCGCTGGACCATGAGATAGTGTGACCCACATACCCACCCACTCTGTCCCCCAAGAACAGTTTTCCCCATACCTGCCCCCAGACTGCTGATTGGCTAATCACTGAAGAATCAAGACATAAATTACCATTTTGCCCACTCATGGCACCAGAAAAAAGCCAAGTGGCCAGGTAGAGCAAAGCCCATCACTTCCCACTTCACTTCGACCCTAATTGATAACAATTCTGAAATCAGCGAACACTTGTGTGTGGGGGGCAATTTCTAGTACAGAGACTGCAGAGGGTGGGCAGTCAGGATGCCGGTGGTGGCCAATGACGCTGTGAACTGATTAGTGGGCTGTGGCAGGATGAGGCCAGGGGCCTTACGTGTCGTAGAGCAAAATGGTACGGGAGCCACTGGAGTTGTTGACGATGCAGCATGAGCAGGGGGTCTCCCCCTTGCTTTGCCAGGACACCTGGGACACGTCCACGCCCCTCCGCCTGAAGTCAGCCACTAGGTAACTTGGAGGGGGAGCCCGAGGCGGGGAAAGGGCAAGGAGACACAGATTAGAGCCTGTGAGGGGCCTCAACCTCTCCTCGCAGTGGGAGTGGGGGTGCTGGCCGACGTGAGGTCGTGGAGAGAGGAAGACTCCTGAAAGTTAGCGGTGGCGGCGGCAGCTGGAAAGGCGCACACAGGCGTACAAACCTGTAGGCGTGCAGGATGGTGCGGCTGCCATTGGTCTCGTTGACGATGACCGTGGAGATGGGGATGGAGCCCGTGGTCTGAAAGACCGTGTAGCGGAGGTCCACGGAATAACGGCGCAGATCTTCCAGGACAAAACTGCCGAGCGGAGTAACCCAGGGGAATGTGCAGTTCGACCGGGGTTGTGGGGACTGGAGCAGAGCTAGTGAGGCCATTAAGGGCCATGGAAGCACAGGTGCAGGGGAAGGCTAGCAGGGACCTGGAAGTTACAGGGCTGGCCTGGAAGGGGCGAAGATGTGCAAAGGGGCAGGAATGCAGGGGCAGAGCCTGGAGCTGGGTGAGGAAGATACCAGGGGGCGTTCCTCTGGGACCTGACTGAGAACACCCGCCGTGACCCCATCCCCAGGCCAACTCAGGGTGGAAAGTATTGGCTCCAGTTCATAAAGCCAGATCACGGCAGCCCTAGGGCTGAGGCCCTGCTACCTGTTTGAATTAAGCAGATAGGGGCACTGTGGCCTGGATGAGTTTTATGCAAGGCCCAAGCAGAATTAATAATTAATCACGTAGGTGGTTATACTTTGCCCCCCAGCTGCCCTCTGTGTGTGCATTCTCACACAGTCCTCTGTGAAGTCCCCTCCAGATTTCCAGCTAAGATTCACTGCATACCTACACTGCCTCTGTGATGCCCCATCACCAAATGGGACTGCTCTCCCACAGCAAAGCTAGCCCTCCAGGGCAGTTCAAAGCTCCAAGCATCTGAATATGGGTTTGGATGTCCAGGACTCCCACAATCCTTTCCAATCAGAGTCAGCAGGGGGCATGCCCTCCAGAAGACTATGCCCTCAGGGAAACAAGGAGACCCTTTCTGGAAAAGACAAAGGGTGTCCTGTGCCCTGGGGTGGGCTCAGCAGTCTCAGCAATCATCCTAGCTGTTCCCACTGTGGCTGGACTCCAAGTTAAGTAATACCATTGCTGGACAGTCCAGATATTTATGCAGGTGGTACAACTCATCTTACTCTTCAGAGATCCTTTAAATAACAGGCTCCCCAGAACACTACATACAGAGTGTTATTTTCCAGATAAATTTTGACACCAGAGAACTTAACATACTATGGTGGTGGTAGTTGTGCCAATGAGTCGAGTACGAACTCATCATGACCCTATGAACAACAGATCTGAACCCTGTCCTATCTTGTTGAACAAATTAGGGGAGAATTCTGAATGATCACCTGTCAGCACAGCTGCCACATAAAAGAGGGTCCACTGCACTAACCACCAAATTTGGTCTCCTGTGGAAGCAGAAAGGGGCTGCTTAACCAAGTGACCAGTTGCTGGCCTAGATTGCTGGTCTGCTTGGTGCCAGTTCATCAAGGTGAGGGGTTCTCTGTGGCTCAGGTGCTGGGCTCCAGCAGCAGTCCCCATCAGACTGGGGTACAAAGGGTTGTGCTTCACACACCAGCACGCTGGCAGGCTGCCCATGCCCACAGTGGGCAAAGTGTGGGCCTCACCTCCCGATAAGTGCCTGCTGAATCCGCAGGGTCAAAGGGCTCTTGGGTCCTTGCCACAGCCATCATGGAGAAGGTGCGTGGCTGCCCGTGGGCTGTGGCCCCATCAGCCAGTAACCTGGACTCCTGGCTCCTGGGACCAGCTTTAGCACGTGGCTTTGGGATGCTCTTGGTCAAAGAGCCTACGGTGAACAATGAGGATGTTTCCACCAGCCCTGCCCCCTGCACTGAGAAATAAACTGTGGGCAGGTCCCCAGAGGGCCCCTGGATGCTGGACATCCCTGAGGGAGGGGCTGGTACAGTGTGTCCCTAACTGCCTCCTGGCTCAAGCACAGTGGGATAAGGGACTGAAGAAGGGCAAAGTCAAATCCACTGCAGAGTCTGTAGGAAGCAAGGAAGGAGAAGGGAGGAAGCTTAAGCGGGTTCCAGAGAGTGGCCGCGGAAATGAGCTGTGGAAATGAAACCTTAACAGAAGCACCATTAACACCTGAACAGTAGATAAGGGTCAGGGATCCCGGGACTCCGCCCTACCCACTGCCACCCATTTTTTGTGGCCACCCATTTCCATCACCCACTTTCTCAGAGTGAAGACGTCCTCTATACCCCCACCCACATCCTCTAGTGGGCCTCCCCTGTCCCTCCTCCTTGACTCACTCGGCAACGTGGCCAGGGGCCAGCGAGCCCATAAAGGCACAGGGGGCCCCCAGTAGGGAGAGAACGGTGCAGGAGTTGGATGCATTGCCACCACGCTGCCATCTCTGAGACAGGCACCTGCAAAGCACAGGAGGGTCACTGCAGGCCCAGGAGCCTGATCTCACAAAGCATAAAAATCCCCTGCAGAAGGCATCTGGGGCAGCTGAGGTTCAGAGGAGGGAAGTGGCTTGACTGAGGGCCCAGTTTGTGTCCCCAGACCAGGCGAAACGTAGGCTCACAATGATTCCTTTCTGTCCTTAAAGGCATTGGACAACACCAGGAAACCACTCAATCAAGCTCATCACAATTTGAAGGCCCCAGTACCTCTCTTTGATGATCATCTCTTTGGTTTATAATGGCCCACTTTCTCCCAGTCAGAATGATTCCCTCTTGGCTATACCCATAGTCTCCTCCTGTATCTGAGGGCCTCAGAGATCAAGACCTCTTCTCAAAGCTGTCATATGCAGACCTGTTCCTATTTTAGTAACACTGACACCCAAAGGGAGCTGGAAACAACAATGCCTGCAGGTTAAAATGAACGGGACAAAGCAGCTCTTGAGTGGGGATCATTTCAGAGGCAAGGGGTAACTTCTGAGAGGTCAAAGGCTAAAAGATTATTAGATGAAATCAGTTGTTCTCCATCTTTAGTGAAATCTAACCAAAGGGAACTAACACACCTAACTGTCCTCATTGGCAACAAAACCAATCACACAGAGAGCATTTTCATGATTTTGCCTTTGTACTCTGATAAAATTGTGGAGTAAATACTGCAGGCTTTGTTTCTACGTTGTTAATTTTTTTAAGAATTGTGGCAGCTTACAATAAGAGAGGTAGGTACCAAAGAATCATTAACTCAAAAAACAATGAACTAAAATTAGGATAAGGAACTCAAAACTTCACCTTCACAGTGCACGAATGATTGAACTGAATTGCAATTACGATGTTATAAAACAAAATGCACACAAATCTTCAATTGAAAAAGCAACCATGATTTGTAAACTTTCCCTCAAATTAAAAAGCAAACAAACAAAAATTCACCCGAGGTTCCTTTCAACCTTGGGAAAGCAGGAACACAATTTCATCACAAAGGAAGCATCATTTTCCAAGCGACGACCTTTGGCGATACTTTCAAGCAAGCAAGGAAAGAGTAACAGCTAGAAATCCAACTCCTGCTAGTTCACACCAAGAGCTAATGATAACGTTGGTAGCGGAACCCGGGTTTTCTGACTTCCCAAACCACTGCTATTTACTCTGCACTTTCTTAGACTGCTAACTGAAAGGTCAGTGGTTTGAATCCACCGGGTGCTCCATGGAAGAAAGATCTAGCAGTTTGCTTTTTTAAGGAAACCCTAAGGGACACTCTAATCTGAGTTGGAACTGGTTCAACAGCGGTGGGCTTGTTCTAATGACAATAATTAGGCCCTGGCTTTGATGAGATCTTCCAGAAAAGGTATGTATGGAACTTGACACAGTGGAAATCTTTCAAGCCGTACTGATACTCAACTCCCTGTGCAGAAATGCTGAGCAAAGGATGAGGATGGCTTTGTCAGGCTTCACCTCTCAGCCTGGCATCCGGAAAACGGGGATTATTCCTCATAAGTCTGACCGAAGTCCAAGTAGCAGCCCATTAGATGTCCCGACCAGTCCTGGAATACAGACCCCTTGGGGCAGATGGGACAAGATGAAAGCTGGGCTGAGTGGGATAGCAGCATGACAGAGAAGGTCCTACAGACAAACAAAGCTACTCTGCATCCCCCAGGTGGGAGGGCATGGAGAACAGTGGGCGTGTGGGAAAGGTTGCTTCCGAGAAGTGTCTAACTTAGCACCCAGTGTCAGGGCGGAATTCAGCAGGATGTGCTTATTCTAACATCCTGACGTAATTAAGCTCAATGAGAATGAGACTTCATCTCTAATAAAAAGAGGCCCTCTAGTATCTCTAGTCTTTGGGGAACCTATGGCCCTGGAGTTTTTACTGGTATCCTTAGCATAAGTCTAGCTCACTCCTCACTGCGACCTGTGTCCCAAGGCTGGCCTGACACAGAAGCACGTCCTCATGTCCCTGCTGCCCTGGCAGGAGGCCCTAAGGTTTGGCAAACAAAGTAATCTCAAAGGGTCATTGCCAGCAGACAGGCAAAATGCAAAAGGAGCTGGGAGTGCAGGACACGAATAAGGGGCTGGAGTCCTGGGAGGGGAGGCAGGAGATCTGGGTTAGAATTGAGATTAAGAGCATCATTGAATTTCTTGCACTCTTTAGCTTCCTCATCTACAAAAACGTTTTTACTGATCTTTATATGCTTCCTTGGTCCTGAGGTGAGGGAAGGATATGATCATGACTGCTTTTAAAGGCACAAGGGGTCCCAGTCTCCCTCTTCAATTAGCCTCACTGCTGCCAGGTACTGTGGTGTCTTGTTCGAGAACACGTAAAGTGTTTTTTTATCCAGTTCTTGGCTTAGAGAACTGACAGTAGAGCAGCTGTCCTCCTGAGGACTCTAAGTGCTTCTATACTGCACCAAGAGAAAGCCACAGAGCCTACTGCACAAAAATCCTGCATGGACAGTGACCGAGAGCAAATGCAAGCACCAGCAAACAACTGTCGGACTTCTACCAGCCAAGCAAGAAAGATGCTTGCCACTGTGTTGCCAGCAACCTCTAGGAAAGGACTTCTGGTAAACCTGATGAAGTTACTATCAGGAAAGAGCGTGTCATCTGCCATGCATTGGATCAATCCAAACCTTGAGCTTTTTAAAGTTGAAATTCCAATACTATGGTTTTAAATGTCCTCTGAACAATCTTAATTGCACATACCTCTTACTGTGAGCTCACATTCTTTTCTTATAAGTGGGTAATATAAACATTTAGCCTTAACTATTTATAATGAACTAGAAGTCTTGGTGTCAAAAAATCAATGGTCCTGACTTTACTTGCTGCATGTCTTTGGATGAATCACTTTTCCCTTCAACCTGTCTAGATGTTTATCAGTAAAAAGGAGATGAAACCTGACAAAATCCCAGGGCTGAAATAGAATTGGCTAAGACAATGCTATTCAAAGTTTGCTGCTTATTAAATCCTTAAAATTCTTTGTTTCCTCTTCACTCTTGTTGAATGTCCATGGGCATGCAGCTCTCAAAACTGGACTCTGTGGCCTCTGTGACTAGGCACGTACGCAGGGCTGCAGTGTCCCCTGGGCTCTACAAGGGGCCCGCCGCCCCTACCTGCTGTCTGCGTCCTCCTCTGGGTACTTGTCCACCACATTGATGATGTCCAGCACCACTAGCCCCACGCACAGGATCTGCTTCTCTTCCATGAGGCTGTTTCCGGAGCCTTCTGTTCTATAGGCTGACGGGTTGCCTCCCCAGCTCTGCCTCTTATCCCAGGGAATTGATTCCCCGCTCTGCTGGGTGCCCTGGCTCCTCCTCCACGTCTGGAGAGCTCCGCCTCTAAGGAGCTCCTGCAGGAGCGAGGGGTGCGATATGTGGAGTGCAGGGAATGCAGGGACCTGGCCTCCGACGCACACCTAGGCCTGGGAGCGCAGATCCCCGAGTCTGAGTCCCCAGCCTCCCCTTACAGCAGGTTGTCAGGCCCTGCAGCTGGCCAATCTTCCCACTTCTTGGCCTCAGTTTCCTCACTTGTCGAACAGACTCGGAACCAAAGTCAACCTACATAAAACAGGCTAGGCAATCTCATTAGTACAGAGAAATTTCAATAAATAATCGCCACTAGCTCTGCCCTTTCCTCCACCCTTGTCTGACACTTGCAACTCACCACCCAGAAGGTAGATTCCTGCCCCGGCAAAACAAGTAGCCGCGGGAGCGATAGCTGATGTCCCGCCCCGTTCCCGAGGCCCAGCCAATCGCAGCCCAGCTCAGGCCTGGCCTCGAAGCAGCGGGAGTTCACGAGGTGGGGGGGGAGGGGCGGGCCACGGCCACGTGACGGGAGACGCCGAGAGCGGCGCCACAGTCGGAGCTCCCAGCGCCTCCTGCGGACACCGGCAAAACTGCATGACCGAGCGTCGGTCCCACCGGAGCTCTAATCCCGACAGCACCTCACCGCCCAGGAGCCGAGCGCCGGGGGAGGAGCCAAGTCGAGGCTGAACCCCCGGCGCCCCTCCATCCCTTATGTCTACTCCTGAAAATACACTGGAACCGAATAACTTTCTTAAATTTGTTTTGAATTTTTTTTTTATAAAAACAAAATGTCTTTATTCCTGAATAGTTTAGTATGGCGGTGGGGTCTTGCGCCTCCTCCAAAGAGCCCTGGAGCCCAGAGAACCCATCTGAGGATTAGTTGGGGGAGTGAGGGGTGCAAGGACCGGCTCCTCGTTAGTTTAGACATCGTTAGTCTAGACCTCGCTCTGGACGGGACGGTAATCACTCCAAATCTTGGTGATAGCCCCAAAGTCTATAGGGAGGACCCCAGAGTCCCACCCGCAGCATGCCCGGGCTCAGCCTGCTGGGCACCTGCACCAGCGACTGGGAGCCGACAGGCCCCTTCCCGAGGATGCATGCATCTTAGACGGTGCCAGTCACAGGCAGGCACCAGGGGACCCGCCACTCCCGCTGGCTCTTTAGCCCCAAACCCTCCGGCTAGTAAGTCTCAGCCGTCGGTTTACTCCTGTTCGAGCTCCAGGTCCCCGTAGAGCAGGGCTCCGCTGAAGATGGTGAGCGGCTCCTCGGAGTGCGCCAGTTGCCCCATGACCAGGTCGATGCAGACGGTGTCCCCGGCCTGCAGCGGCAGGATGAGGCTGAAGACGCCCAGCGCGCCCGGGCTAGGCTGGCTCTCGGCCACCGGCTTGTTCTCCAGGCCCTCGGGCTCGTAGCCCCCGGAGTCGATGCGCGCCACGCCCAGGTTGGAGCGCGACAGCACGGCTTCCACCTTCTCGTGCCGGTGCCCGGTCAACACAGCGCTCAGCAAGTAGCGTCCGGCCAGCGGCGCCGTGAACACGCCTGGGCACAGGGACCAGGGAGAGCAGTCAGGAGGGGAGACAGACCGCGGGGGGGCCCACTGAGAACTCCCAGCCTAGGGAGGGAACTTTGAACTCTTTTCTTAGAAAATGTAGGCTCTATAGAGCTGGAGATTTTATCTGTTTTGTTCTGTGTTGCAATTTTAGTGCTTAAAATATTGCGTTAAGAGGTGTTGTTGTGTACTGACCCATAGCTGACCCTCCAGCGGGTCCTCAAAGGCAATTCATCACATATGAGACTGCCCTTCTTTCTTCACTAGTGCAGCTGGTGGATTCAAACTGCTTACCTTTGGGTTGCCAGTGCAACTCCTTACCGCTAGGCTCCCTATAGTAATGTTGTTGTTGCTGTTTGGTGCCGTCGGGTCGTAGACGACTCATAGAGACCCTATGAACGAACGGCCTGAGCACCCCTATAGTAATAGGAACCCCTTAATAAAGATTTTGTCAAATGAATAACTGACTACTTCTTCTTTCCTCTCTACCCTCAACCTAAGTGTGGTGAGAATGAATAAATGAAGGAAGAAAGGAATAGAGTGTCTCCCCAAAACACAGGGTGTAAAGATACACATTGTCTGAAGAGGCAATAATGACACCCATCATCACCACATAGCCTCACCCGGTCCATACTTGCCCTGCCCAGCCTCCTTCCAGGCTTACCAGTTTCTGGATCATAGTAGCCTCCATCGTTGACCAAGACCCTGTCGAAGGGGACTGTGCCTGGTTCCGAGCGAGGCAAACTCAGGGCAGCTGAAAAAGCCACCCGGGGCAGAGAGACTGCCGGTGCTCCCTCTACACCTGGTGGGGACACAGTGGATGTTAGGGTGGGTGTTCTGTGCAGAGCTGCCTAGGCCCTTCCCCTGCTGGCTCTCTGCCCTCTTGCTGCCTGAAGCCTGCACCCTCCAGCCCCTCATTCAGGTTCTACCTCTCCTGGGGTGTGAGGAGAAAAACTTACCCTGTTCACCTTGGGGACCTGTGGAGAGAAAGCAGAGAGAGAGAACGGTGAGCAGCAAAGCAGCTCTAAGTCATTAAGCAAACATCTGCTGAGTCCCAGCTGCTATGCTGACAGCTGTGAAGATTTGAAAGCAGGTATGGGATATGGAAAAAAGTAGGGATAGGTAAGGCCCATGTTGTACAAGAGCTGGGACATAAGCCCTTAGCCTCCACCTTCCACAGCCCAGACAGTCCTTGTAAGCTTGGCCTCAGTCTTCAGTATAGTCAATATATCGATTACTGACTGTCCGAGCTCCTCATCACTTTCCTCCCACTATCAGCCGTGTACCTGTTGCCACTGCACTAATTCTGACTCATAGTGATCCAATTGGACAGAGTAGAAACCAGAGGGTTTCCAAGGCCCTAAATCTTTAGGGAAACAGACTGCTGTATTATTTTCCTGAGAAGCAGTCAAGTGTTTAACCACTGTGCCACCAGTGCTCCTTATCAGCATGTATATGAAAAATCCACAGCTCTCCAGTCAATTTTGACACACAACCACACTGGAGGACACAGTAGAATTCCCCCCCCCCCTTTGTAAGCCTGTACATTATTACAGAAGCAGACGGCCTCATCTTCCTCATGTGGAGTGGCTGGTCAATTACAAGGGCTGACTTTTTGGTAGACAGTTGAGTACTTTAACCACTGTGCCACCAACAATATAGGATCTTAATTCATCACCCCTTTTCTCCCTTCTCTGGCAGGTTCAAGGTGGAATATCAGGCCTGGGACCTCCCATGAATGTCTCAGCCTACGTACCTGGTGGTCCAGCAGGTCCCTCCTGTCCATCTTTGCCTGGACGTCCTGGGGGTCCAGCTGGGCCTGGAGGCCCCTGCATCCCAGGAGGCCCTGGGGGTCCAACCTCACCTGCTGGTCCTGGAGTGAAACAACTATGCTGAAAACCATAAAGAGTCAAGGAAAGTGGTGGCTTTATGCAGAGGGGAGGGATGAAACAGAAGGGCGATTGTAGGTTGGTGGGGAGCTAGGGATACACAATGGCCATGCTGGATACCTGGCAGAGCAACATGCCACCTCTACCCACAGGCCAACTAGAGCAGTCAGAGGGAGGATAGGGAGCTGGGAACCTTGGATGATCTTTTATAGGGAAAATAGTCACCCCTGGGACATAGGTTAGAGCTACAAGCAGGGTGGGCAAGGCAAAGGAATAGATGCCATCACAGTAAGCTGTTGGGGGTGAGGAGAGGAGAAAGGGGTTCCCCCCATGCTTTCTCTAGCCCCCTCACCAGTGAGATCTGCCAGGCTGAGCTGGTGCAGCTGCTCCTCCAGGAGCAGCAGGGAGCTGTTGAGGGCACCGAGCCGTCTGCCCAGGCCCGCCTGCCCTCCCAGCAGCTTCTCCAGGAGGGCCGCCTGTGTCTGGCTGGTGCTGTTGGTTTCCCGAAGCCCAGCCCAGAGCCCAGCTACATGCTTTGAGAGGCCCTCTCGAAGGCCCTGCAGACCCCCTGCCACAGTGTCCAACCTTTCACAGACTCCCTCAAGACGGCCCAACCTGCCCTCTAGGCTAGGGCACTGGCCAGCCTGTGGCTGTCCCTCTTCCAGGCCTCGGAAGCGCTCCTCACTCTCTGTGGCATGCTCTGTGGCCTCCTGTTGTAGCCTGTTAATCTCAGAGATGATGCGGTCTTTGGTGGCTCCCAGGTCAGCCAGATCGGCACCCTGGCCCTCCACAGTGGCCTGGAGTTCATGCAGCGAGTCATTGAGAGAGCTGAAGGTGAGAATGACCTCAGAGAGCTCTCCTTGTAGGGCCTGCAGAGCTGAACCGGAGCTGCCCCCAAACACGCTGAAGCCATCCAGTGGCCCTCGGCTCGGTCCCCCAACACCTGGGCCAGCCCCAGGGCCCCGTGGGGGTAGCAGGGGACAGGAGCAGCGCTCCACACCATCCCGAAGGCGGCCCAGCTCCTCCTGGACACCGCCGCAGGCCCCACAGCCTTCCTCCCCACGGGCCTGCAGCAGACTCTCCAGCTGGCCCAGGCGAGTAGCTGTGAGATTGAGCTGCAGCGCAAACTCTGCAGCTGTCACATCCTGGGCATCCACTCGATCCTGGAGCCGGCCCATGGCCCCTTGTAAATCCTCCAGCATGACCTGCCTGGCCTCACCGGCTGCTGTCACCTTGTTCAGGCTTGAGCCCACCAGCTGCAGCTGCCCTTCGCTGTCCAGCACCCTGCGCTCCAAGGCACTGATGATCTTGCTCAACTGGGAGTCCTGCTCCGCAGAGGCCCCAGAGCAGAGCTGTCCACAAGCCTGCACAGCCCCTGCCACCTGTTCTTCCAGCAGATCCAGCCGCTCACCCATCTCCCCACTCACATTAGCCAGCAGCCCCTCCAGCTTCTCTAGTTGGCCCCGGGCAGCAGGCAGCCAATGGCTCAGGCCTCCAGGAGCCCCAGGCCAGCCCAATTCCTGGTTCTCTGAAGAGCCCAGGGTGGAGTTGAATCGGTCCTCCAGGCGAGTGAGGCGAGAGGCTAAGCTGGTGTAACCTGGTGGGTAGCCCCCCTGCCCAGCTGCTCCTCCTAGCTCAGTGCCCCGACGGCCACTCAGCACTGTCACTGAGCCTGACACAACATCCAGCCTCCGCTCCAGTTCTGCCAGTCGCCGGCCCAGCTCCGGAGGGCAACATTCCTGAGAGGGCCTGCGGCTCAGGGCCCCGGCCAGCTGTCGCTGCCTCTCCTCCACCGAGGCCAGCAGTTTCTCCAGCCCTCGAAGCCGCTCCCGCTCTTCCTGCTGCTGCCGACGGAAGCCATCCAACCCTGTCAGGCACACAGAGCAGGACTCCTGCACACGCCGCTCCAGCTCCCGAAGCAGCTCCTCGCTCTGGCCAGGAGAGGCCGGGGCTGAGTCCAGGGTGCTGCTGCCCCCCCCACCACCACCATGATGGTTGTTGAGATGACCCAGCTCCTGGTCATGGGTGGAGACACGGTTGTCCAGGAGCTGCAGCTGGTGCTGGATCTCATTTAGTGTTTCATGCACGCCAGGCCGGGCGGCCGCGTCTGCTGGCTGCTGCCTCCCATTGAAGGCTGTCTCCACAGCCTTCTGGACATCTTCTGCCAAGCGCCCACTCAGTCCCTGTAAGGTCCCCCGAAGGCCTTGCAGCTCCTTTGTTAGGCTCTGCACCTGCTCCTCCAGCTGCTGCACTTTCTCTGACTCCCGCGGACCTAGCAGAGAGGAGAAGGCATAAGGCAGGCTGGTCGTCAGAGCTCACTGCCCATTTCTGGGTCTGGAACTCCACAACCCTCACCTGCTCACCCAGCTCCATCAGGAGGACAGAGGTCCTAGGTTGAATTTCCCTTCGCAATTTAGCTGAGCAATTTGGGCAAGAAAAGAAGGCTGGAAACTCCATCTACTGAATGTCACCAGATCAAATTTGGTGATGACTGTGAGCACTTCCCAGATTATACATCAGGCGGAGAAAGATGAGTAATAATAGGTAACGGGTCATGGATTACAAGTTGAATAAGCAGCAGAACCAAGTTTTTAAGCTCAGGACACCTGTCTGACCTCCCAGGCCATGTCCTTTCCACTGTACACCAACCTCAACTGCTGATGATTGGATTCTGACTCAAGTCACAGGAATCTTGAAGACAGTGTGGAACTGCCTTCTTGAGGTCGTCAAAGCTGTGATGTTTTAAAACAGCGACTGCCTCATCTCTGAGGAGCAGCTGGCCGATGTGAATGATCAACTGTTCAGTTAGCAGCACATGCTTATTCCACCAAGCCACCAGGGCTCCTCCACTATGCACAGTGTCACTTAACTTTTTGGAAACTATTTCTTCACCTGCAAAATGGGACCAACACTCACTATCTGTCTTCTGTCATGAGGCTGCCAAGAGGAGAGAAATGGGACCGTGATAGAGGCACTTTGGACACCTCAATAGTGGCTATCCTGGGGCAGCATTCTCTACGACACTGTGGGGACCAACAAGAGGCTCCACAGCGAGCCTGTCGGGCTCTTGCCGGCTGGTGAGAGAGGCAGTTGGAGGGCCTCCCTCCATAAGTGGTCACGGTTATCTCCCTGGCTGGGAACCCCAGCACATCCGGAGCACCAGGAACACTCACAGGGGAAGGCTAGCCATGGGGACTGCTGCATGCTGGGACCTGCAGTCTCCACAGGCCGGAGGGACCTGGGACCTGTAGTCAGTTGCAGTGCATGCTAGGACTTGTAGTCTCTCAGTTGTCTCTCCCTACGGACCAAGATTCTCAAAGGAATTCCCTCTTCCTCCCTCAGCAGTTTCCAGAAAGGGCGCATCTCAGCCACAAGTGGGCATGTGTGAGCACATCTCATACACACACTCAGCGCCCTCATTAGCTTGCTTTCTTCCCTCAGACCTAGCGCAGTCTGTGGTTTTACCTCAGCAGCCTGGCCGCACATATTCCACCCAGGACGGTCTCCCGCTTTTCTCCCCAGCAGCTCCCATACTCACCTTCTCCCCCGAGTCCACTGAGGTGGCTGCCTGCACTGGAGCCAGAGAGGTTAGGGCGGACGGGCCGGGGCCGAGGGCGAGGTGTAGGAGGTGTAGGAGGTGCAGGACCCAGCGCTGGGGCAGGACCCTCACTACAGTCATCGCCCCCATAACCCTGACAGCACCGCCACTCCATATCTGTCACTGTCTTGTAGGCCACCCGATAGCGGGGACGGACGAAGCTGCGGTACCTGGGAGAAGGAGAAGGAAAAGGAGGCCTCTATTTCTCCCTGTGCCATCAGTGACCCTGGCCCCTGTCCTCAGAGATGAGGTCTACGGAGCAAGGCCTGTCCCTCAGATTAGGTCTCCCTTAGTCTCCAGTATGACAGCTGTCAGCTTATTGACCAAGAGCCAATCTCTGCTCTTACTCCCCTTACCCCACACAGGAACCTTGAGCTCCTCTCTGAGGCTGACGCTAGCTTGGACATGTCAATCTCCCAGTCCAGAGAAGGCATCTGGGCCTATCCCACCAGCCAAAATGTTGTCTCAGCATCTCCTCAAAATAGCTCTGACCATGGCTTTCCTGGTCTTCTGCAAATTTTCTGGCTTTATACACCTTCTAGTTCTTAGCTAGCCCCCACCAAGTGCCCAATGACCCACCCATTTCCTAACAAAGGGCGCTCACATGATGGTGCGGGGACATTGGGACTGGCCCCAGCCACATGGCTGGTAGTCGGGCTTGACAAACGTCTCCACTCCATCCTCAAGGACACAGCTCACTGTCCGGGTCACCACGTAGGCACACCAGTTCCTGTAGACACAATGCCACCTGAGTCCATGGACCAGAAGAGGCCTCCAGGGCTACCAGAAGGGCTGAGTGAGTGTCATCAGATAAAGGTCCCTAGGGGACCAGTGAGAGGTGGGGCTCTGGCAGGAACAGCTCCCCTCCGTTTTCCTGTGTGCCAGGAGCAGATAAAGACTTTTCAAGATGGGAGAGGCGCAAACTGGAAAACCACAATCACAGAGAAATTAGCCTTCATAGCTGTGGGTGTCCAAGGAGCCTCTGAATTCACACCTTCATTCTCCATTTCTGGCCTTTTCTTAATCCCCACTTTGGCATGCTCTGCGAGGGTCAGACAGCCAGGCCCCTGGGGATGATCCCCTAGGTGGTGGCATCCACCCGTCCCTCAGGGAGATGACATAGAGTGGGCCACAGTCCAGCTAAGGGTTAAGGAGAAAACAAGCCATTGATGCGCCCTGCCTCCCCTGGGGCTAACAGTCACACACACTTGTCCCATTCATGCTGGCCTCTGATCTGTGTCCCGCTGGGAAGCAGGAGTGGTGTCAGAATTATGGATTGTTTGGATGAGGCCAAGGAAGCCCTTGAGAAAGACAAAAACGGCTGTCTGAGAATCCTGAGCTGGAGAGCATCAGGCAGCCCTCAGGAAGGCCTGGCCCACGCTCCTTAGGGGGATTTCTAAACTGCAGGCCCCCTGGGGAGACATGAGAGCTGACCCATCATGGAAGCAGATCCAATTACGGGTCCTTAGAAGCAGACCCAAGAAGGTGGGCGTGTGAGAAGCTACTAGATGGATAGTCTTTCCTCTCTCTCCTCTCCCTTGCATGAGGCGATAACTTAAGGGAGGGTCGTCAGAGTGGTGACCAGCATGCCCACCTTCCCGCCAGCCCTTCCCACCTCCCTCAAGCCTGGGACTGAGGTCCCCTTACCTGTGTCTGCTTGCAGGCCGAGTGGCGCTCTGGGCTTGGGGCCCCCCTGGGCTGAGAGCCCCGCCACCCCCAGTGTACAGGCTGTAGCCACGAGGAGAGTAGCTGGCCGCCCCGGCAGAGGCGGTCAGCAGACAGCAGAGGTAGCAGCTCCAGAGGGCGCTGGGGGCCATGGTGGGGGCACTCCTTGTCGGGGGGCTCTCAGTGGCACATCCCTACCCGGCGGCTGGCGTGTCTGCCCAGTCCTCGGGGATGCCGCGGCTCCGCAGGACACAGCGAGAGGGTCCCCGGCTTCCTGCCTTCGGTCCCCAGCCACACGCCTCCTCCTTGGCTGCCTGGTCTGACCCCTCTCCCCCTCCTCTTTCCTCCTCAGGCTCCCGTCTGTCCCTCCCTCGGTTCCTTCCGCTCTCCTCTTCTCCACTTCTGAGGGGAGTTTGTTCTCCGTGCCCCTGGCCTCCTGAGCCTGGTCCCTGCCCCTCTCGGATGCTGCTTCCTGGGCCCCAACCCCTGGGCCCCAGCTGCCTCTTCTTGGGTCTCCAGGTTCTTTCCCCCCTGATGACAGAATCCTGGGGGTGACAGGGCTTTGCCCCTGTGGCTATTCAGAGGTGCAAAGGGTGGCTGTGGGGCGGGCCCTGGCCTCCCGCCTCCCTCTCTAGCTCACTCCCCTCCCTTCCCCCCTGTCTGGCTGGCGGTCCAGCCTTCCCCTCCCCTCCCACCTCTCCAACCATCGTGCGCCACATCTGCTTCTTGTTAACTCCGGGAAAGAGAGGGAGGAAAAAAAAAAAAAGGAAAAACAGAGAAATGTGGAGTTGCCGCCGGGCTTGGGGCCAGCCTCTCAGATGGGCCACATGGAACCAGGGCCAGAGCTGGGGAGGAGGCCTGGACTGGTGGGGCAGATAGGGAATAGGAGTTGGAGTTTCAACTCTCCAGAGGCCTAGGACAGGTCCCGTCTGGGAAAGAGGGCCTGGAAGAGGGACCAACGGAAGGATTGGAAAGAAGACAGTGAGTTTGTTGAGGGTCTGTAGGCATCACTCACCATCTAGTCCCACTGATGCCTTTTATAGATGAGGAAATTGATCGGAATAGGAAAGTGACTAGTCCCAGATGATACAGCAAGTCCAGATTAAGGCTCAGATTAGAATCTGAAAACCCACATCATTGATCTGGAAGAAAGAGGAAAGCAGGCTCTCATGGCAAGGGAGGAAAAAGAATAAAGGACTTTGTTAAGGCAAATAGGAAATTCAGAGAGTATAGAAGAGGAAGCAAGGACTCTGAACAGGGGCACAAACTTCTGTCCAGTCTTCTGGACAAGAGGAGAATATCCAACTAAAAGGGTCAAAAGACTATGGGTTCAGGCTGGCTTTGGTGAAGAAGGGCTGGGTTAGAGGTAAATGTGGACCTATCTGTATAGCACCTTATGTGATCCAAGCCATAGTCTTATCAATTGCTTGCTATGCATTTGAAAGTTGGACGTGACTAAAAATGACAGAAGAATTGATGCCTTTGAATTGTGCTATTGGAAAAGAGTACTGAATATCCCATGGACTACCAAAACAACAGATCTATCTTGAAGAAAATGAAACTAAGGTGCTCCTTAGAAGTCAGGACAGTGAAACTCCTCACACACTGAATATTTTGTTAGGAGGGGGCTGTCCTTGGAGAAGGACATCATGCTTGGGATGGTGGAGGGTCAGCGTAAGAGAAGAAGACCCTTAACTAGATGGATTGACACAGTGACTGTAGCAATGAGCTTAAGTGTGTCAAAGATGATAAGGAGGCAAAGGATAGGGCAGGTTTCAGATAAGTTGTTCATAGGATTGCTATGAATTGTACTCAACAGCACGTAACAATAACATATAGCACCGAAGGAAGTTGCTCTCTACCTGCACCCAAATCTGTAGCAGGTACAGGACTCAGTCATATTCAGTTAATTAGCCTGATCTCAAAGCTCTCTGATGGGTGCCAGAATCTCTTAATTTATTTGCTCATCACCATCTGGTGCTCAGTTCCATGTCTGAGAGCAGAATCTACCTGTGTGGCAGGAGACATGGGAGAGAGAAGCTGGAATTCTAGACAGAAAGGGAAAAGGGAAGACTGTATGCCAAAGCGCCACACATGTAGAGGTGACCTGGCAGGAAAAGCAAATGAGACTCAGCCGCTGTCCACTACAGAGTGGCAGAGGCTGTTGTGGAAACAAGCACCAAAATAGAGAACATAGGCAGGATTAGCTGACACCAGAGGGCCAGGCCCAATGGGTAAGTATTCTAGCAAGGAAGGGGAAGGTAGCTGGCTCCTGGGGATAGTAAGAGAAAAATTGTTGGAACAGATAGGAGTTGAGCAGTGTCAGGAAAGAAAAAAAAAGAAAGCGAAGAACAGAAGAGAGGGAGAGATGTCAAGTCTGAAATGGGCCACTTGGGTTTCCTCATCTGTAACATGGTGATAATAATAAAGAAAAAAACCTACCGCTTTTGAAGATGAAGTATAAACATTATAAATGCATATGAAGCATTTCTAACAGTGCCTAGCATATAAGAACTTAATAAATATTAGCTCATATTTGTGTCATGAACCAATGGGACAAAGTAGATTGTGGATATATTATGGAGAAGCTTAAATGCATGGTTAAGAGCTTGGGTTATAAGTTTTGAGTAGGAGAATCTATTCATGTAGAGAAAGAAGGAATGATCAGTTAAGAGCAAGGGGCGGGGTGGGTCCTGGCTTTTCCCTAATCATGATTACAAACATGGGCAGATCCCATAATTCTTCTGGACATCAGTTTTCTTATATGAGGAAAGGGCTTTCTGTTGTCCAAGGTCCCTTGAAAATTCTCTGTTGCGATGTGATACTGTCTCAGGCTCTGGTGGTGGTGGTGCCCATGCAAAGGACAAGACAGCTGTAACTCTTTTGGTAACTGCCTCTGTGATGAGGGGCGAGATGGAGGCAAACACCAGAGAAGACTACAGGGTTTGAGCCAGGTTGGGAAAGTACAGAAGCAGATAGTATGGAAACAGGTTTTAGGGAAAAAGGCATAACCTTAGTTTAGACAGACAAATAAGAACAACATATCCCAGTGGAAACAAATGTCTAAGGGAAGATTTATAAATATGGGATCTTGATTCTGGGAACCATCTTCAGGGGCAAGAGTTGGAAGGCCATGGGAACAAATGCCACCAAATCTTCCATGTGACTCTGAGTGTTCTCTCTCTGAAGTCCTATGATTCAGAATGGGACCCTGATGGCTGGAATAAATGTCAGAAAGGCAGAACTATGAAAGTAAAGGCTGGAACAGAAGTGCACAGCTGCACCTTAGAGGTCTGAAGATCAGCACACAGGTAGACTTAGGGGAAATGATCCCAGGAAATTCTAGGGTCAAAGGAGTTGGCAGGAAGATTCCAGCTTTATCCTTAGTGTCTGCCTCAGTGCTCAGCCCTGGCAGGAAGTCAGTCCACTTCCCCTCCATATTGCCCTGTTGCTGTGGGGTTTCCTTCCCTGTTCTCTTCTGTTTCTCCCTTCAGGAAGCTTCTGGCAACCTGCAAAGACATCTGAGGCATCTTGTTACTGTCTGGTTGTCCCTGTTCCCTGTTCTGGTTCCTAGGCTTTTAAAAAAGTCTGTTGTATGTTTAAGATGTGTCAAGTAAAAAAATGTTAGTTTTGAAGTATATTTGCAGTAAGTTGAGTTTCATTTGATCTTATAATTAGGATCAAAAGCCAACAAATGGACATGAACATCTGTGAGATAGCAAATAACCGAGTGTCTCGGGAATTCACTGGGGAGGACAATTCCCCCTGCTGTCCTTGTGGACAATCAGGCTGCAAAGGAGGTGAAGGCTGGACAGAACGTGGTGGTGATGGTGCTGATGTTGGCAGGCAGCCCCAAATGTCCAGACAAGAGAGTTTCTGAGACCAAAAAAGGCTAACTCTCTGGGGCACTAGGGCAAGATCTATTTTATAACCTTTCCAAAATGGAGAATTTCCAAGGGTTTAGTGCCAGTGGAAAGAGCTCCAGTGGTGTATTCAGTAGGAGGTTGTGCTGACTCAAAGGCAGTGCCTTTCGGGCAGTTCTGATGCACCAGCAGCTCTGAGGCAGAGAGATGGGCTGTTTCCTCTTGTGCAATTTACAGCGTCCAAAAACCCACTAGAGAGTCAGCCATCAACTTGATAACAATGAGATAAAAATGAGTGCTTGATGGAAGCACTCATGTGTTGGGCTGCTCAATGAAAGGCCACCAGTTTGAATTCATCAGATGTTTCATGGTGGGGGGGGATTAAAAAGATAAAGCCTTAGAAAAGTTAAAGATTAAATTTTTTTTTAAAAGATTACAATTTAAAGCCTCAGAAAATGATGGAGGCTTGCTATGAGAGGGAATAAATTCTATGGCAGCAGTGGGTTGGATTTTGATAGTACCAGTAGGATTAGACACAATAGGCAACTAATTCATTCATTCAACCACCACTGAGCAATGAGCTCATGTGCCCAAGGTCAGATTAGCTAGGCATACCAGCAAAACCGAACACTTTATGGCTGTCTGACAGCCTATGTCAGAGGTATGAATTGAGTTGAGCATCGGAGTCATGGCAAACCAGATGAGAATTTAAGCTTGTGGGGTTTTAAGCAAAAGTCTACTTTCCCCCAACACAACCCTTCTCTTAGCAGTAGACCTCCTTGGACTCAGGCAGTCCCCCTTCTTCCATGTCTTGTTGCTTTTTCACTCCTGAGTCTAATCCTGGCCGCATGTCTTCTCCTTGAATATATTTACACTATCACAGATTCTAGGGAGCTCTGGTGGCTTAGTAGTAAAGAATTGCACTATCATTACAAAGGTATGCAGTTCGAAGCTCCAGCTGCTCTGGGGAAGAAAGATTGGCCGTTTCCTCCAATGTGATTTACTGCCTCTGAAAACCTGCTAGAGAGTCAGCTATGGGTTGGTTCCACGTTGATGGTAAATACCTACAATAGATCATGTATTCTGGTCAAGTGCCCCCCTAATTCTTTTTTTTTAATTAGTTTATTAAAGAGACACCATTTTTCGTTTAGCCTTCTGACTTTGTACTTGTGCCTCCAGTACTTTCACAACATTTTCTGCTCCTTAATAAGGAAAGCATGCTTGATCCTGACATGGACACACACAGCAACATGGAGCTACCACAAGCTCTGCTGACATGTTTTGTTTTTTTGTTTGTTTTTGACAACCTTCTGAGAACTGTAGGTCTCACAGCAGTCTTAGACTCTTAGTTGGCCTGTCCACACACCACATGCAGATTTTGGTGCTTTCCCAACCCTCTTGGTTTAAAGGTAAACAACTCTATTACCAGGGGTCATGACAGCCTAGTTTTGTTAGAGGCTGTGTTGTAGGACAGACTACGAAGGTAGGTCAGACGTTGGACCATTTTGAATGCCTGTCTGTAGTGTCTCCAGAAAAGCCCTCCACCTAAATTCTGTGCCCCACATTGCCTGTCTCACTTTCCACTCAAGCTTTTTTCAAGCTTCTATAGTTTTCACTGAGTTTAGTCTTTGAGTTCAGTCTCAGAGGCAAGTTTTACATTTCAGTTCCTCTAGGCACTGGGTCAAACTATCCATTCAAGGCTGATAAATACTCGCTGACCTAGGACTAGGAAGCCCTGGGAAGTGAAGAATATTTCTGGATGCTTCTAAAATAAACTCTTTCTCTCTGTCCCTGACCCTAGGATAACCTGTTTTGTTGTCAGGGGCTGTCAAATCAGTTCCAATTCACAGTGACAACAGAATAAAGCACTGAATCATCTTCACAATTGTTTCTGTTTTAGTCTATTATTGTAGTCACCATGTCAATCCATGTTGTGGAGGGTCTTCCTCTATTTCAATGACCCTCTACTTTGCCAATATGATGTTTTTGGATCCAGGGACCTATCCCTTCTGATAATACATCCAATGTGCATGATACGATGAAGTTTTGGCATTCTCATTTCTGTTGAGTCCACCACTTGACATGGAATGTGGAAAAAGAGGAACCAGTGACATTTGGATTCTCTGGCTCAAACTAGTAGTAGAGTGTTGGTAAAATCAATTAGCTACATTCTGGGACTCAGTTTTTTAATAAAGCAACCTTAAAGGCACCACTGGAGCTCTGCCAGTCTAGAATCCTCTGCATCTGGATCAACTGATTTCAGGTGCAAACCTTTGGACTTCCAAAACTAGAGTCTGAAGCACTTCGAAGCCTTCCCTAGTGTCATGTGAAGTCTAGAAATTCTGCTTTTCAGGGTCAGTCTTGAGGTTAGAGGTTTTTTGTCCGGCTTTTTTTTTTTTTTTAACAAGAGGTAAGTCTAGTTCTTATTTGACAATAGACCTAAGTGTCTGGTTAGGCTTGGCCTGCTTTCAAACTTTCAGGAGACATGAAGCATAATGATGTATAATCTTTTAAGACCTAGACCTTCATTTTCCCAGAGCTGAGTTGGGAACAGACTGCTCTCTGAGGGAAGTGTGAGGGGAGTACATGTCTGGGGTTTCACTGATGTTATGTGGAGGGATGGTGAGCTTGGGATTTTAAATAGAAAACTTCTGGGAAATATTGGGTAGGGGAAGGGGGTAAGATAGGGAAAGCCAGGGGAAATAGAGATTACTGACGGCAGAAGACAGAGTTGAAGAGATTACTGAAGGCAAAGCATGGTTAGGCTGGAGCATAGAAAACAAAGAGCTGTTGGTTCCTATTGAGCAGCTCTCAGTTCAAGTTAGGGTACTTCCAGTTCAGTTTGTATACAGGCGGGCATGTTGGTCCCCAGGTCCACAGCAGCTTCTGTAGAGTTTTCTTTGGCTCAGAGAAGCTGAGGCGTCCCCTGAGCCCTGCCTGCGGCCCCCCCCCCAAAAAAAAGCAACTGGCTTCCATTACTCCTGACAGCTCCAGAGCAACAGCCCAACCCCCTAGCCCCAGCCTGGCTCTGTGCCGTTCCCTTTTATGGTGAAGCTGAGGGAAAGCTAGAAGGAGGGAGATTGTTCTCACTGAGCAGAAGGTTGTGGAACCCCTAGGGTGTCATGTCACTGCCCTCGCCAGAGCCCCTCAGAAAATCTACCCACTGCCACATCTCCGTCGTCAGCCACCCACTCTGCCCTGAACCGGGGCCTCCTCTTGCTTGTCCCAACCCTTGCCCCCCTCCTTCACATCCGGGGGGTGATTTCCCACTTGGCCAAAGTCCCACGGTTTAGGTTTTGATTCCCGAAGGGTCCGCCCTATTTCCGACACCCACCTCCAAAAGCTGGATGGGAGGGCTATATCGGGTAAGGCAGCCAGATAAACCAATTACTGAACTTCGTCAGTCCTGGAGCAGAAAGGTAGCCCCAGCCTAGTCCCCAAGCTGCACCGCATCCCACCCCCACTCTCGCCGGCCCCGGCCCGGGGTGGGGACCGTGTGTGCAGGGCCCAAAGGAAGCACCTGGCTGGGCAGGGCCGGGAAGCGAGAGATGAGCAGCACTGCGGGGGGCCAGGGCAGGAAAGGGGAGGTCGGAGCCTAGGGGTCATCAAGCTGAGTCGCTAGGCTGGCCCCGTCACTGCACTCTCGCCCTCATCCACTCCAGGGCTCAAGAAGCGGCTGGGGTTTGCTCGCCGCGTTCCTGCCTTCGCCAGCTGCGGCCAGCTGTGCAGTCTAGGGCCTGTGGCGTGTCTCCGTGGCCCCGCCCCCGCCCCCGCCCCGCCCGCGTCCCCGCCCCGCCCCTTCGAGGCGGCCGCGGGGAGCAGGCGAGAACGTAGGGCTAGAGAGGCTGTTCCGACGTTGACGCACGGCCGGAAGTGCCTGATTTGGGACTAGGTGGTGCTCCGAAGTGCTGGCCCGGTCTCCTGCTTGGAACTTGCTCGCGGTGAGCATCGGAGGCGAGCCCGGCGGGTCAGGTGAGCGGCACGCAGGCGCCGTCCCCGGTCAGCCGGCCTGTGGCTGGGGGCTGCGGGCGAGGACGGGTCCCGGCGAAGCGAGGAGGGCGCCGCCCTGAGACTGCGTGCTCTTCTCCGCAGGATGATCACGGACGTGCAGCTCGCCATCTTCGCCAACATGCTGGGCGTGTCGCTCTTCCTGCTTGTCCTTCTTTACCACCACGTGCCCATCAACAATCCCAAGAAGCAAGAATGAGAGTGGCGCTTTCCCCCGCCCCAGGTAACGGTCGGGACTGTAGCGCCCCGTCCGAGGAGAGCCGACTGGCTGGGCCGCGATCGAGGCCGCACAGTTCAAACTTAAATTGGACAATATCGGGACAAGCCGGAGAGGCCCACAGTATGGGCCCTTATCTGCCCGGAGAAGGGTGTGCGGTCCCTTAAACTGCTTCACGCTAGAATGATAGGGGGTTCCCCAGGACCCGTCAGTCGCTATCCTCTTGGGGTACCCAGGAGGAGAAATGATGCCCGACTTGGGGGTCCTTATACAGGGTGGCAGTGAGAGTATCATCCAGGTGGCGGAATTTGAACTCTTTCCAGGCGTGTGCAGTCCTTTACTCAAGCAGACTATTTTGTAGAGAGTGTAGCTATGTAAATAGTATTTCCTTGTTTTGTGACTTGGGGCACTGATTGAGGGGTTGGCTTCTGTAGATAACCCAAGACACAGATGAGGGGGGGCGTCGTGGGGACCAACCTTAAGTGTGGACCAGAAATGTACAAGGGAACAGGCTGGATGGGAGTTGATTCCTGAAGTTCCCAGAAGAAATGTGCAGCATTTTCCTTACCTCGGGTCTTTCCCCCTCTTTTCTAGGGTTCCAGGACATAGTCTGAGGCAAGATGGAGGGTGTGAGGGGCCTTCACACTTCACTTCATCCCTTCTGTCCATCACAACATACAAAGCAACTACATCTGGATTTTTCCAAACAACTTTTATTTCCTCAAAGTCTTCCTTAACCCTATGGAACAAGAAGCTGCCACTGAATAGGGCCCAGTATAGGGGCTGATTTATTTTCTACTCCCCCAATATAAAAATATAGATATATAATTTTTTTGTGGTCCCAAAATCTTGTGCTTTGGAAGGAGGGAGAGTGGCAGGTCCCTGTTTAGTCCTGTCAGGGTGATGTTCTGCAGTGCCTCGGACAGTGTGGCTGGCATTCCACCGGGTTATGGTTGTCATATGGAATCAGCGGCTGAGGGAGGGGCCAGCACATTTTCTCCCTGTGTTCTCCCACCTTGGGGCTATTTCTTGGACAAGGCATTATCAGACCCGGGGAGAAACAGTGAGGGGGGGCGATTTAGGGACAAAACAAACCTCAGGTTGGCCCAGGGGCCCCCCGCTGTAACATATCCGGGACTGAGAGTCATACAGAATACAGGAAATACGAGAAAAGGCAGGGGCAGAGTGGGGCCGTGGGGGCCCAACCTGAGGTAGCCTGCAACAGAGAACAGAAAAGAATCAGGATTGTGGAAACTCTGCTTTCTCCTTTGTTAGTCAGAGGCTGGGAAATCAGAGAGGTGGGAAGATGAGAGGATGGGTAGGGTCAGGCAGGTTATTGCTACAAGTTCCTAGGCCACAGGCCTAACTAGAATTTGGTTTTTAATCCCTTGGAGTGAAGACCAAAGGCTATGGTGGGAAGAAATAAATCACTGAATAGATTCTTAAAAGAACACCTAGTCTTTAGGGTTAAAGAGAAAAGAGCAGGAAGAATATTGTCCAGAATGGCTGAAATAGTAGTGGGGGAATACAAGAACATTGCTCACCCTGATACAGCAGAGTGGGGTCCCGGCTCCGGCTCACTGGTCTGGGGCACAGGGGATGTGGGGCCCGAAGAGCCTCTCATCCCTCTGCAAGTCGGCGGTGAGCCCCGGCCCATCCTGGGCCTAGCCTGTGTGGACAGGGGTGAGCTAAGCAGCTGGATTTTCCATACGCTTGTTTGCATCTAGAATTTAAAGGTATAGTGTAGACTGGATCTGTGAACTCTCTACTGTCCTTATCTGAGAAAAGCCCTGCAGTATAGTGGTTAAAGCACCCAGTTGCTAACCAAAAGTTGAATGGTTTGAATTTAGCAGCTGCTCTGTGGAAGAACGATGTACATCTGTTTCTATAAAAGTACAATCACAGAAACCCTACTGGGCAGTTCTGCTTTGCTCTTTAGGGTTGCTGTGAGTCAGAGCTAATGGCAGTGAAACCCCATTTTGGTTGCTGGACCCTAGCTGAGAGGAGGCAGCACGATAATAGCCAGAAAACTGGGTTCAGTCTGTGACTATGCATTCTGAATTTAGGGCTGGCAAAAGAAGTGAGCATTTAACTTCTATGGTTACCCATGGTCAGGGTTTGACTTAGTAGAGGAGGACTATGTGGAAAGATTGGAAGACTCTTGGAGCTTTTGGGTCTCAGACCCTACCAGGAGCGCAGCATGAGCGTCACTCATTCAGTCAGCTTCTACCTATATCCAACTTTATCCAGCCTGTCACAGAGGTCTGGACTGAATTAGAATTGATGGCACTACTACGAGCAACAACTAGATGTGTTACCTGGGGAATCCGGGACCCCTCCTGGCGGAAACTCTCCTCGGGCAGGTCTGGGCAGAAAGAGAGGAGAAGCTAAGGGCAGGGGCAGGGAAAGCCAGAGCTAGCAGGCTGAAGTTTGGGTATATCTGGCAGGGACACAGGTTGGAAGCAAGCAAGAGAGACCTAGCTAATGAGGATGGGGTACTGGAGAGATGGGCACTCGGCATATTCTGATTTCCCAGAGCAGCTGAGGGGAGAGGCTGTAAAGGAGTAGCAGTAGTACCAGGCATTGCCCTCCCACTAGCCAGCTGAACAGTGTCTTGCCAGGCTCTGCCACGGTTGTTATGCTGCGGAATGGGAAAGACACAGAAGTTACCTGCAGTCGGGTCCTGATGCAGGGGTTCCGTGGTCCAGTTCCTAGGAGACCTTTCCCAATCACCATGACGGTTTCTGGCTTGTCTCCTGAGGACAGGAGTGAGCAGTTACTTCCTACAGAAAAAGAACACTGATCATCAGGAGGAGCAATGGAGGAGAGAGACGGCTTCCTTTAGATAATAGTTTCTCAACCTCAGTATTCCTGGCATTTGGGGCTGGATAATTCTTTTGTAAGGGAGCAAGGAGGGGCTATCTTCTGCACTATAGGATGTTGAACACCATCCCTAGTCTTTGCCATTAATGCCATCTTCCTCCTCTACCCTCTAAGCTTAATTACTTTTGTAAATTTAGTGACTTCAGGACATAAACCTTTAAGGACCAAGCCGATGACAGCCAAGATTGGTGGACTGGGACTACCATTAACAAACTGAAGGTAGCAACTTCTGGCTGAAGGAGAAGACACTGGACTGGAACCTTAGAATTCCACAGCTGAATCTATAAATTGTACAGGAGGGTGAATGATCTAAGGTTTGTGTGGATGATATGTCATATTTGCAGTGATGAAAGTTGAAATCCACATCATTTAATGTTCTTTAGTTTTGCCTAGTATTACCCAACTCCTTTAAGTGTAAGTTGTTGTTGTTAAGTGCCATTGAGTCATAGGTGACTCATAGCAACCCTATGAACAAAAGACCTGAACACTTGTATAACTTTCATCCTTTCTCCAAGTTCATAGAGTTTCCGGAGGCGAGCTTTTTTGGAAGTGAATGTCACTCTTGTTTCCAAGCTTGTTTTAACTGGGTAGCTCCACCAAACACTGTCCATCATAGGTAACCATTATCACATTTGACATATTAGTGTCAAATGTGTTTAACATCACAGCAACTATGAATTACCTCTATACAGCAAATGGGCAGACCAGTGCTATACCGCTTAGTAGAATGTTTAACCAAAAACTACTAAAACCAGGCCTGAGGACTGCAGATGACAATCACCCACCTTTGGGGAGCTCTGGTGGCAATAGTGGCAAGAAGCTGCACTGTAATCCCAAAGGTGAGGGGTTCAAATCCACCAGCTGCCCTGCTGGAGAAGGAGGGACAATCTCCTCTTGTACCAGTCAGATCCAATTTGATGGTACACACAAAAATAATAATTTAAAAAAACCAAACAAACACCCACCTTTGGCTTGGTAGCATCACTTTCTATCCACTAGGCCAACAGAGCATATTTCAGTAGAAGTTATATATTAACCATTGGAAGGACAATCAGTTATTTTCCAAAATAATTTATAACTGGGTATAATTTTTTTAAAATAATACCAAACATAGAAGGGCTAGCAAGAAAAGCAACTTTCATTGTTGTGATGGTTAAATGTAATAGGCTGGGTAAATGACATTTTGCAGGGAGAAGAAATTCTGAAGTTCCTGAACTGTAGAAATGAAGATTGAGAGAAGGTGCTTAGAGCAACGCTGCCTGGCATGTAATACGTACTAGCTGCTGTCGCATTGGCTCGTGACTGCACAACAGAACGAACTGCTGCCTGGTCCTATGCCAGGCTCATGATTAGCTGCAGATTGGGCAGTTATGATCCACAGGCTTTTTCACTGGCTCATTTTTTTGGATGTAGGTTGTCAGGCTTTTCTGCCTAGTCCATCTTAGTCTGGAATCTGCTGAAACTTGTTGCGCATCATTGTAACTCACAGCCCTTCTCTGACAAGACAAATGAATCCAACCTGAGTCTCATTTAGAAAATGGGAATTCACCATTTAATCACCAGTGCCTCCAGTTTTAGCTCTTATTATAAAAAATCTTTTATTAAATTCCAGCTTCCTGTACAAGGACGTGGTGCTAGGAATTTAGGCTAAGCCAGGTTTGAGACTAAGAGACTAATGGGTGCCTCTGGTTGGAAGTGCCTTGTATTAAGATAAAACATGTCCAGAAGGAAGTCTGGGTCAGGCATTTCTTCAAACCTATTCAGAAGCTTTACTAACCACTGGGTAGTAGGGATTGGAGGATATTGGCCATCTCAGATCTCAGGGACAGTGGGTACAGACCTGATAAACTGAGTGAGCTGGGTAGGAGGCAGGAGCTCAAGTTTCGTGAAGAGGCTGTGCCAGAACTAGGAGGAGCTGGGGGTGGAACCAGGCTGCTTGCCGTTGGGTGATGGATCAGTGGCTGCTGCCTCCGTCTCCTGTCCTGGCTTCGGGGCTCTTGAGTGGAAGGGACACAAGCAGATGAAAGGAGATTAAGCAATGCATAGTGCCATAGTCTTTGATGCCTAACTTGTTCCCTCTGATCAGAAGATACCTATTTTAAAGACTACAACCAGCTTACCTCTTTTGAAAGAATTCTTAGATGGGTTCATTTTTATTGCAGTTATTTTTCTGCCTCTCCTCATCCTACTCGCACTCTCTAACAATTAACCAGCCTATTCATCCATTAGTTAATTCTTCTGGCCAAGAAATTTTTGAGCTTAAGCTTTTGAAATACAATTTTCCTGGATACTCTTACCTGTAACTGCCCCACTTGAGTTGCTATTCCTGCTTTTAGATGCCAGTGCCCCCCCACCACCACTCTGTCCTTGTTCTACCTGAAAATCAGTCCTCCCCAGGAATTCCACCGTAGGAAAACTCAATTCTCTCCTATCCTTTGTGTTCTTACTATTGCTAAAAACATGTGTCCCGAAATTAACTTTTTGATTCCTCTTTTATGTTTAGATCTATGTTTAATCAAGTCTGAACTACTCTACCTCTGTTAATTGCTTGAATTCTTCCTTACTCTCTGTTATAGCCAGTGTTCGTATAGAACATGTCTCATTCAGGCTTTTGAAGAGATTGTTTTCCCTAGCTTGAATTTCTTTCCTTTTACAAACTAACCGTCATAGAGATACCAGAAATTATTTTAAACAAAGACCTGATCAGAAATCACTTTGCTCTAAACAAGGGAGAAATACTGAAGGCTATTTTAAAGTCTAAACTTTTTGCATGATATTCAAAGCCATTTTTTCCTTTGTTTCCCCTCCCAATCTGCACATCCTTAGAAAGATGGTGGCTTGATTCTTCACATCCTCTATTATAGCCCCGGTGTGTGCTGTTGTATTGCCAACCCAAAGGCTGCACCTGTTTGACTGTGGGAGAAAGATGGGCTGTCCCCTCCCATATAATTTCCAGCCTTGGGAACTCATAGGAGGATCTGCTATGAGTTGGTTCCAATTTGACAGCAGTGAGACAAGTATGAAAGCTTGGATATCTTTCTGTCCCATCTCAAATGTCACCTGGGCAGCCTCTTTGCCCATTACAGGCAAAATTAATTGTTCTTTACTTATCATCAGTGTTCTCTGTTGATACGGTTCTTCCTTTACTTTGAGTCCCATCTCATAAGGAGTATCCATTGGGTTTTTGAGGCTGTAAATGGTAATGAGTGTAGACTGTGCCACTCCGTCAGAGCCACTGATGGATTTGCAGCACCAGAGACATGAGGCTTTGGGGTTAGCAATACAGCTTGTTATGGACATCACCAGAGCTCCCTATTAGTGGGGTTTTTTCTTTCCTTTTTTTTTAAATTTTCATGAAACCTACTAGTGTTTTATACTTAACTATATTAATGAGGTAAGTTAATACTTGTAAAAGACTTATAATAGTGCTTGGAAGTTAGAAATCATTCCATCAAAGATAATATTAACTGAGGGAAGCTCTGGTGGCCTGGTTTGAATCCACCGACTGCTGTGCAGAAGGATGGGTGGAAAACATGCTATAAGTGAAAGCTGTGAGTCAGTTCCAACTTGATGGCACATGACAATAACAATGTTAATTGAGGGAGCTTTGGTGGTGTTGGGACTTGAATCCCTTGAAAGTAAGGACTTGAACACTATAGAATACTGTACATCCCAATGCTTGTAGAAGACTGCCTGGAAAACAGAGACCTTAATATTTTGTTTACTTAAGCACTTAAATCCACTATGGATCACGAGCAGGATAAGTTAGTATCTGACTCCAGAACATACACTTTGGAGAAGTTTTTTTCAGTCATTCTTGTGGCGAGACCCTCCTTTCTGAAGGTCCTGGGCCAGATGGGTTGCGTAGGTAGAAAGACCTGCAAATTTGATAAGTATTTCTCACAAAGAGGAGATCATGTGAGTTCAGTGGAACTTTGAGGATGTTATCTGACATCTAATAAAACATGGCTTGGCCCTGAAATGTGTCTAACTTGGTAAGCAGGTGACAGCCAAGTTCAACTTGTCTAGCTACACTGGGCTGTAACAAGCAGTAAGTCTGATCAAAAAGTCCCAAACTGAATGCACTGATATTTTAGAGCTTGAGGAGTTGTGCTGAGATGCTGAGTAACAGAATCAACCAGTGAAAGAAGGAGCAGGGAGGTAACAGGACAACAAGTAAGTGCCTCATGGCTACAATCAAATCTGACATGTTACCTATCACCAGTGAGTCCCGTCCACCAGGACTCAGACCTATGGTTAAAATTCTATGGTTAAAACAGGGATGTCAGGATATCATTCAGATGGCAGGGCACACGGGATGCAGAAGTAATGACTTCAATGGAGGAAAAAACAGCAGTGTCATAGATGATCTGAGAAAGAACATATACCCTAACCCTAAGAAAGGAGAGCAACTGAGAAGTGAGCAGTGGGAGAAAAAAAGGAGAAAGAATTGTTGTACAATACAAAGAATGAACTTACTGAACTGTGCATGAAGAAATGGTTGAACTGGAGTACGTTTTGCTGGGTATCTTCTCAACAGTAACAACACCACAAATCCTTTGGCACATTTGTTAAGATCTAGTAAGAAGCTAAGAACCCTGGTGGCATAGTATGCAGTGTTTCGGGCTGCTAATTGAAATGTCAGCAGTTTGAATCTACCAGCTGCTCTGCAGGAGAAAGGTGGGCCATCTCCTGTAAAGATTTCCAGCCGTGGAATCCTAACGGAGGGCTGGGAAGAGTCAGACCAGACTTGATGGGATGGGTTTTGGTTTAGTAAGAAACTGAGTAACAATTGAAAACCAATCAGATAAATTATATAAAAAGCAATGTGAAATACAGAAATAAGGAATCATGGTAAAAATACTAAGGAAACAACCTAGGAAGCCTGTCACTTGTGTTTTAGGATGGCAGGCATGGTCTGGTTGAGAGCAGAGGCTTGATCTGGAAAACGAAAACATTTCTGCCATCACTTAAGACTCTGAAGTAGGCTTGTACGTTGGTCACTGTGAACAGGCAGCCCAGTCTGACTTTTGGTCCCAGGAATAATCTAGGTTGGCTCTATCCCCATTTGAGACAAGACACAGAGCAAACACCCCACTTGTATTTCTTAGTTCTGAGGTTTTAGCAAAAACAGTTTAAGGTGGAGCACAAGAGCAAATGAGACCAAGTCAGCTTCTACCAGTTGTGAGATCAGACCCTGTACTAATCAGCTATCAGTTCACCCAGGGTGACAAGACAGTCCTGGAATCAGGGTCTGAGAAGTTATTGGAGTCAGACTAATCACACCATAGATTTAGAATGAATAAAACTTCACCATTTACTGCCAATCGCAGAGGTATGCAGTTCGAATCCACCAGATGCTCTGCTGGAGAAGGAGTGGGAATATCCTGTACCAGTCAGATATGATTTGACGGTACACAGACACAAAGTAATTAAAAAAAATCACCCTCAAAACTTCACCATTTAGAGGAACACTCATTTGACTTCCATCTAGGTCCTCATCCTGCCTAAGCAGTCTTTACATGGCACCCAAGATCATTTTGAATTCTGTTACAAGGAACGGAATTGATGAACAACCATCTGGGATGATCACAGACCTGATTTCTGCTCTCTGATGAATGAAAAAGTGAGACAAGAATTTATTTGGCTTCCAGCTTCGTGCCTTACATTCATTTAGTAAATAACTGATCACTTAATAAGGACAAAGGAACAAACTCTGATGGCGTAGTGTGTAATGTACAGGGCTGCTAACAAAAAGACTGACCCTTCAAGGCCACCAGCTACTCCACAGGAGAAAGATGGACAGTCTCCTCTTGTAAAACTGTACAGCCTTCAGAGTCGGAGGCCGCTGTGAGTTGGAAATCACCTCCATGGCATTAGGTCTGGTTTTATTAATAATGACCAGAACACAGTGCTAGTTGTATTAGCGGACATGTCATGGCATCAAATAAATTTTAATCTGCTATTTAGTAGATGGATTCTGTACTGAGTTGTGCTAACTCAGAGGTTGGAATCCACCAGCTGTTTCAAGCTAGGGAGGAAGATGGACAGTCTCCTCCCACTGTGATTTACAGCCTCAGAAATCCACTGGAGGGTGGTTTGTGGAGCCTGAACTGACTTCACAGTATTGAGGGATGAAAAAAATAAGGAATCAGGCCTCTTACTTCCTGCTGACTCACCATCCAGAGGACCCTTCATTCACCAGTAAACTTTAACTGCTCTAGCTCAGCTGTGAGCTTTGGGAAATTGGGGTTCCATGAGACAGCTGGGAGGATAGGAGCTACAGGTGATAGGGCAACACGGAGAACCTTGGCTTTCATACCAGATTTCACCTGGGTAAGCTGGAGAGCCAGGAAATTAGTTTTCAGTTAACCACTGAGGCTGCTACTTGAGTCTGAGGTACATAGCTTACAGAGACATTTGCTGCTGGCCCTGACAGTAAGTACCACCTTACATTCTGTGGCCTAGGTACCTTCATCCTCATTCCTCCCGACTGAAATCTACACATAAACAATAGAGAAGTTGGTTTACCAGCAGTTCCTTTCAGCTGTTCGTGTCTGGTTCTCACCAGTATCCTGCATGCGGTAGACTTCCCTCACTCCATCTCTCCCCTGTGATTTCCTCTGTTGCGGCAGCAGTTGCTGGTAATATGGTCTGCATTTCTGAGTCAGATGGATGGGAACTTGATTCTGAGTCTGGCATTGTGTGGTTAAGAAACTGTTTTGCAGAGTACTGGAGAACACCCTGGCATCAAGGCCAGGGTTTGCTTAAATCAGGGCTTAGCTTAAGAGAGGGTCTTTCAGATGCCTGTACTGGAAGAAATATTTGGAAGAAACATTCCTTTTTGACCCCCTGGCCTTCTAAAATGTCATCCCTCCGTTTCTAGAGACAGAACCCACTAGACTGCCTTATGCTTCTGGTTGAGCTGCTAGATCTTTCCTGAAATGTTCTGGATAGCCCACATCCATGTTTTGTTCTAGCCTATAAAAGAGGGATAGCCATTAAATATAGTTAAATGTAATAAAAATTTTATACTTTAGTAGGAAATATTTTCTAAATAATGAAAAAATCCCTTGTCAGATCACAATTTCAATTTGGGGTTTGGAAAATATCACTGTTTTATAGTTATATTTCTGAAGCATGAGGCATCAATGTTCTTTTGGAAGACAGAATATTTCTAATTGTGGCAGGGGCCAGAATGCCCAATATATGGAGCCTGGAACTATCATAGTTACAGCACAGAAGAGATCAGACTGGACAAATGAAGGTATTTTCAAGGGTTGGTTGAAGATAAGCAAGTTTAAATGCCAGAGTGTACATGCAGGCCCCTTTTCATGTCCCTGTTGGAGACCTCCAGAAATGAAGTAGCAAAAATTTTAACACCGCAAACGCCCTGAACATAAGGGTTAAGATTCCTGGAACCTGACCTTTCAACTCCTCAAAATACTGCTTGTTATTAGTAACCCTTACTGACTCCTTGACATTACAGACATAGTTAACTACTTTTACAAATATTTATGTAAGTCCCTGTGGTGACTGCATGCAAGCCAAGAGATCCTTTTTCTACTTTTAAGATGATTCACTAGGAACCATAATTGGTTACTTGATTTTTACCTTACACTCATCTGTGGCTGACTCTTTCATCTCCAAACTCACTTTTTCCTAATTTCTGCCCTGCAGGATGTCTCCATAACACCCATGCATGCCTAAGGTAAACAACTACTCATCACTTCAATAGTTTGTGTTTTTTTTTATAGTGTGCGAACTCTCTCAACAGTTTCTTAATATTAACGTGACCTTCCCTTCAAATTGCAGCCAGCCTTTTAGTTCTCTCTTCCACCCTCACTGAGTACTGTCACTTTTGATACTTATGTTCATCTCTCCTCTTTAGGCTCTAGCCCATCTGCTTTATCAACTAGTGCAAAGATCGCATCTCTCCTGGCCTATCCAACATAGACAGTTCATAAACAGCATCTTCTGTATGTGTTTTGTTCCGATTATTCTCAGAAGCACACACACTGTGCTGTATGTCTGTTAATTCATAGTCTTTGTTTTAAAGACATTTCAACTTCTTCCTCCCACTTCTTTTCATCTAATTGCCTAGAAGGGTTTGACCCTTAAAGCAAATTAGATATATCTGTTCTGTCTAGCAGCTCTTTTCTTGGCTGATTATTCCTCTCTTGAGTGTTTCTGTTAAATCACATACCACCCATTCTTCAAAATTATTTCTCAGCTGGACATTCATTGGCTAGTAACTCTTGTGTTTACCATGATGGCTCTCCAGGTCTCTTGTATATTTATAATATGTGTGCACCTAACAACAAAAACATGTGCTTTTATATTTACCACCCTGTTTCCTATTAAGTTTCAATCTGTCAACAAAGAATTACTTAGGATAAACTATGCAAACATTTATTTGGAGAACACAGAAATAAGAATTTAACATAGTGCTCTGCACTGGGGGACTGAACAAGGAGGAGGTTAATAAAATTAGTTAAAAATGGCCTAGATTTCTGTAGACCTCGAGGACCTGTGAAAGACTGCTTACTACTTCCCCTCTGTAGTCAGGGAAGAATACATGGTGCTGCTGCTTTTTCCCCTGCCAGTAACTAAGAGTGAGAGCTGCAAGTGGCTGATGACTGAAAAAAAGAAAGAAAAGAGACTATCTCGACTTGTTAAATGCCGTTGAGTCATAGGCGACTCATAGCGACCCTATGAACTTTCTTCGTTTCTCCAAGTTCATAGGGTTTCCGGAGGCAGGCTATTTTAGAAGTGGATGCAAGTCCTGCTTCCAAGCTTGTTTTAATTGGGGAGTTCTGCCAAACACTGTCTACCATGGGTGACCAATATCGCATTTGACACATCGGTGTCACAGTGTTCAGCATTGCAGCAATCACGAGTTACCTCTGTACAGTAAATCGACAGAGCAGTGCTATACCACTTAGAATATTTGACCAAAAACAATTAAAAGCAGGCCTGGGGGATGCAGATTAAAATCACCATCTTGACTTAAGGAGTTTAAAATGGGTTAAAATGAGAAATACTGGTATACTAGAGCATGAAAAGAAAATATTGCTGTATTCTATATATACACACTTTACAGTTCTGGGTTGATTTTTTTCCCCCCCAAATTGTATAACTCCTTTGTGTATTAGTTTCTAGTGAGTGCTATATACAAGTGTGCATTATTTTCATAGGTGTTATGGATGGAAAAATACGGTGAATAGCTTCCAGTAATAGCTGTGCAATCTTGAACAAGTAATTCTAAAACAGTATCAGTCCCTTCATCAGAATAACAGAAACACCATCTACCCCACAGGGTCCTCCTGAAGAGTAGTAAATGAAATTATGTGACACTTTATTTCACTGTACACAGTATTAAAGTATAGATTCATATTGAGTGAGAACTGACTCCCCAGTTTTGTTTTGTTGTTTTAGCTATAAATCACATAAGAGAAAAACTGGCTGTATTTCTTTCTCATGGAGCTGCTGGTGGATTCCAGCTGGCAAAGGGGGCAGCCTTTGGGTTAGCAGTACAACCTCCTGTGGACCACACCACCACAGCACCCCCTCCTTCAAAAGCAGTGAGCAAAAGTATCTTCCCATTGAAGATAGACTGTCAGAAAATGGGGCCTGGGATGTCAGAAATAATAAGATTGATCATCAAGGATAGAAGACCCATGTCAAAGCTGACAGACCTCTGGTTTGTGACTGCTCTAACTAGAGAAGGTGGGTTTACATAGCTTTTCATTTAATGCATATATTTCAAGTCTACCAAAAACTAGGTTACAAGCCGAATGAATATCCAAGGAAATGCCTACAAGGATGAGTGTAGTTTGAAAAGATGTTAAGTTCTTAGCTCCACTTAAGAGCCTCCAGAGTATGGCAAGATTTCTCTGGTTTAGAAGCCAAAGGGTATTGATTTGTGGTCTAGTATTGCTTCCAGAAATGGCACTACAACAGTCTCCCTACCACACAGCCCAGGTTACCCCCAAGGAACAGCCCTATAGTGACCTCCTATATTCCCCTTAAAAACCCACCTCCTGATGTAAATTCTGGCCCAGAAACTTGTCTTTTATGGCAGGCTTTCAACAAGCAAAACCTGGGGGAGCTGGTGCAGAGATTTGTGGCCACTGATGGAAAGCACTAGACTTGCTTAGCAAGCCTCAAACACAAGGGTGTAGTTGTTCCATTTTTCTTTGGAAGAGTTGAAATCCTGATGGTAATTTCTGACTAGGCCCTAAAGTAAGGGTCAATGTTAGCCCATAGGGACCTAGGATAGGATTCTCTATCATTCTATAATGCTGCAGCTTGGCTTCTGAGGATATGTCCTTACAACTATTCTTGATGTGGAGGCTCCATTTCTCAAGTGTTGAATTTCAGCTAGTCTGTCATCTTTGGAAGCTCTCCTGGCTGCTAGCAGGTGCTGAAGCCCAGATATCTATGACTTTCACCTGTGATCAGCCAAGAATACAGCCTGGAGCTCATGCCGCAGGGAACACCAACATCGCAGGAGAGAGTGCAGATTCTGCTGTAACTAATTTTATTGATTCACCCATTTGCCCCAGCCCAGGTTTATCTTCAGGCTCTCACTTCCCCCAGCAATGCCCTAAGCAACTGAACACCTGGTGCAGGGGCTCCCAGACTGGCTTACCTCTGACAGGGCCTAACACCCGGCTGACCTTTTGGGTGTTAGAGCCCAGGCCTGGTAGCCCTGTAAGCCGAGTGCCATGAAAAGGAAAGCTGGGGGAGTTCTTCATCTGTGGAGAATTTTGTTGGCTGCTGTTGCTACCACCAGCACTTGTGCCAGTGCTAAAACTTCGTGCCCGACTCAAGGAGTTCTCGGAACAGGAAACAGGCAATCCACTGCAAAGAAACAGATGCTAGTTAACCCTAGTCAGGGAGTGTGTCCAAGTATTTCCCCAATCTGATGCTCAATAAAGCATCACCTCTGGGCTAATAAAGGCATGGGACCCATTCCAAGGGAGAAGGGAAACTCATGTCCAAGGGTTGATATCTAATGTGGGATATAGCCCTGGTTCACACAGGCGTGTGACCACAGAAAACAGACAATTGGGAGAGCTGTCCCTGAACAGCTTTGCCTCCCAATGAATTTCCACCTTACTGCTTTGCCCTGACCCTTGAACTCCCTTCTGGCAGTTATCTGCAACCACCGGATGCTGCCCTCAACCCCATTATTATCACTGTATTTGATTTTGTACAGGGCTCTGGAGCAGGGAGACCTCAGCTTGGTTTTCAGATCTCTAGGGCTACGTCTCAGTAACACCAGGTGAAACGGAAGAGGTTCTCTTTCAATAAAATGAACTAATTGTACGAATTTTAATTATGCATCAAGTGGTACTTTTAGAAAGGGAGAGGGAGTTAAAATCCCTTGGCATTCCTAACTCTAGAGCCCTGTTCCACTTGCTCCCTTCCATCCTGCTGGTCTTACTTGTTACTTTTAGGTGGAGTTCGAGAGCCTCTCTTCTTGTTGACACCCACATTCACAGTGCTACTGAGGCCTCGGCTGTTGCGCACATGTTTTAGCATCCAGGCCCGAAGGTTAGTGAGGCTGCTGTGCTCTGAGAGCACAATTCTGGGCCACGGATTACATTCTGCCATGTCCAGAGCTGCAATGGCCAAAGCTCGTCCCACCTGTGGGGAGTCCAGGTTGGCTTAACAACTTGGTCTTCAAATCCAAGCTGCTGTGTTAGGGTGGGGTGCACAGCACAATGGAAGGGAAGGAGGCCAGCTCTAAAATCTGCTTCATGGTGTATAACTCTTATGGCCCAGGTAATACATCTCAAGCGATTTTAGAGTTGTTCCTAAACCGTAAACCATTTCAGGACCTATATAATATATACAGGGCCTATTGTGCTTTCTGGCTAGTTGGCATCAATAAGGAATTCTAACAAGAATCTGAGTCTTCCATTACTCACACTTCTTCCTACTCCTTTTGTTGTGCCCTAGGCCACTGAGGTCATTCGGACCACTGTAGAGGGGTGCTTTCAAGCCCAGGAGTGAATCTGCCCAACAGAATAAGGAAGTCAAGCTTAGGGGCACACAGTCTGACTAGGGATTCTCTGTGGCTTGGGGTTATTCGTGAATGCCTATTCATCCTCTCAATGTCATGACAGGCATTCTAAGTAAAATAACCAGGGTGCTGGGCCAATGATAGTGATATCTTCAAAGGAAGTTAGGCAGCAGGAGCAAAGCCCTCTCCAGACTCTGAGATTCCCCTTTCCCCCACTTATCCTGTTTGTTCATACCTGCTCAAATAATTCCACAGTGTATCTGGAGGGGAAGGCTGGCGGAGGTGGTGGGCTGGCACGCCCATTGTCATGGCAGGCAGCAGGGATGCTGTTTACTGAGCGTCCAGTGTTGTAGTTGCATTCAAGTGTGTAGCTAAGACACAGAGACCTTTATCAGTGTCCTGCCTGAACAGAAATCAGGACTGAACCATAGGGGACAGTCTAAATGGCCTAAGAAGCTAATGGGGGGAAATGAATACAAATGGAGAACATTAATCCCCAACAGTTAGCACCTGTTCTCAGCACACCACCACACTACCTAGGAAGTCTTAAGATGGGAAAATCCTAGGCTAAAGATACTGATGGTGATGAAGAACATTTTTTTTTTGAGAAGACTTAGGTTGTCCCCTGCCCCTCAAATACTCGACACTAGATACTGCTTTCCTTAAGGAAGCTGTTTCATCAATTTCATTCTAGTTTCCACCCCAACCTGTGGATTATCCCTGAGGCTTTGTAGATGGCAACACGGCCGCTGCCCTCCTTAGACTGGCCATCTCTACGGTCTCGGGCATACATGTTCTTCTCAGAGAAATTGCAGCCTTGGAAGTCGAAGTGAGCTGAATTCAAGGAGATGAGCTTTGGATACAGCATGTTTTCTACCTGTTAAGGGGGAGAAAGGTAACTCAGAGGGAGGTACAGAAAGAACAAAGGGATAAGAGGCAAGAAAGATGGCAAACATGGCCAAGGTGATGCCACACAGAGCAGATCCCATCACATCCATCATTGGTAATCAACATTTCTTGCGTTCTTACTGAATTTCCAACATTATTTCTAAATTTTGTGAAGGTCCAGCTCTAATGCTTTAAGCTCAGCAATGTAAAATTCTGTTTCTCTGGATTCCCAAGTCCTAAGAAAGACTAGAATACTGACAGCTTGATCTTGACATAGTGCCCAAGACAAAGGGTCCCAAGTGCCATCTCTTCTTGGCCCTTCAAAGCTCATTCAAAGATGGAGCTACCTCTTACAACACAGGCGTTCTTGCCCGTTCCTTCCCTCTCTGCCCAGGGCTGAACCCTCACTCCTAACCTCCGGCACTTTCCACTTTCACAAGACGTTCTTAGGGGTCCTACCTGGGTGTCCTCATCGCTAAAGCTGTTCCCATACATGAAGCAGCCTCTTTTGGAAGCATGTCCATGCAGGTCCACGTAGTAAGCAACACCACTCTCCTTGGGTGGGATGGTCTCTGGGGCTGGCTCTGTAACGTTGGCTGACTGCTGTGACATGATCCACACACTACTGCTACTGGCCTTCTGCTCTGCTGTCTCTGTCTGTCTCCAGGTCTCAGGTTTCTCTTCATCAGGTAAGTGCCCATGGTGTGCTTCATTCTGGAGGTTGTTGGCTTTCTCAAGGTCAGAAAGAGGAGCATCAGGAGGGAGATGGGGACTGTGCTGGTGGTCAGGGGGGCCCTGGGAGTTCAGACGGGAATGCACATGGTGGTAGAGCAGCACAGCTTTAGCCCCATAAATGGCTGGGTGCAGGACTGCATCAGGCTTCAGGTACTGACGGTTCAGGTTCACTCCCCGTGAGTCCGTGCTGTGGGAAAACAAGGACTGAAGCAGGGTCTAGAGGACTGGACCAGTGAAGGAGGCACTAGAGTAGATGAAGACTGTGGGAGACTGGCTTATAAAATAAGGCTGAAGCTGCTTTATGAAAGAACAAACTGAAGACAGACCCTCTCCTTGATCTGCTGTGGCCCCCACCAGAAATACCTATGGATTGCTTCCTCTAGCCAGATAAGCCTGTGGCTGTACCAGCTTCCACCATCTGCAGAGTGTCTCTGGATGGGATCATATCCTTCTCAAGACACTAAGGACAGTGATAGTTACGAATAGTCATCCCATTAAGGATGGATTTGCCCTTGCTAAGGTATGGGAATACCGAAGTTAGATGTATTTCACCAAGTGTAGCTAACACATGAGGGAGACCGGGAATAATCTAAACGGGCTGGGATGGTTGCTTACCGGTAGTGGCCCCGGACCACACCATCAGGGTTCAGCATGGGAATCAGCTTAAACACAAAGAGACGACGTAGTGCTTGGGCCCGAGGGTCGTCCGGTCGAAGGATGAAGTCCAGAAAGCCATTGAAGACAAAGCTAGATGGGGTTTCCCCAGGGTGTACCCTGCTGCTTAAGAAGAATATCTGAGATGGAGAGGAGAGCGGTCATTAGGTCAGTTACTTTATAGTTCTACTCTGACAGCACACGGAGGGTGGAAGGGAGATGCGGCAGGAGCAGCCACTGACTGGGTCTCCAGCTGGCCGAGTGTGTGGGTAGGAGCTTTCACCCTTGCTCCTGGTTCCAGGCCGAGGCTACGGCTGAACTGCCTCTGACAAACAGCTTTAAGCTATCAAGAGTGCTAGGAGCTAGGTGAAGGCCAAGATACATTCTTTTATGCTGTTCCCACTCACCTTCTTGCCAAAGAAACGGAATGGTCGAGGGGTGCTGGTGTCAGGAAATAGCTGCTCTAGACGGGGTTCTCGGTCTTCCTGAAGCCCATGGCAGGAACTGACTGTTAGCAGATCTACGCGAAGTCCATCCAAAGAATGACAAAGGAGCTCCCGGTGATAATAAATGGTATCCAGGGGGCTAAATGGATAAAAGCCATTAAACTAGGGCTCAGTAAGAAAAGCCCAGGATTTCAGGGCCTAGCCCTTAACCCTTACTTCTAGGGTTTTAAAATTCCTCACAGTGTTAAATGACTCTAAATGCACGATATGCAGAGGACAACACAGGATAAACTTAGTTTTTCTCCAGTTTGTGGCTCCCTTGGATAGACTCTTTTGTACAGAGACTTATCCTTCATTAGGATAGGAAAGGCATGCTGAGCAATGCAGAGCTGGCTAGATATCTCGTTAACTGACGAGGACTGGGCTACTAAAAGGCTTGAACTAAGCAGAGTGACGGTGGTTTAAAGTTTGTTTATGCTGAGTTTAAGGTCAACATATTTTTTAGAGGTGCCAAAGTTCCACATTGTGCGGAGAGAAAAGTTTTAGTTCAGCTTTCGTAAGGCAAATTCCAGAGGTGGCCCAGGTACTTTCTCATCCAGGACTGTGTGAGAGCAGTAAAAATGGGGTTGGCACCTGTTATGAGTAGGGTGATTCTCCATAAATCGCTGGTCCAGCTGGTTTAGCAAATCCTGGCAGTCACTGTAGGAGAAGGGGTAGCAGAAGGCGAAGAAGGTGGTGGCCCCACGACCCTCCACAAAACGGTGAACAAAGGATAACACAAATTGTGTCTCGGTCATCTGAAGAGCAGAGAGAAGGGCAACATGACAAAGGTGTCAAATACGCTCTTGTAGTCACCAGGAACCAATTCCCCTCCCTCTGATACATTCCATATGACAGCTCATTCTAGGCTGAGGCAGGGGATCAGCTTAAACGCCACAGTAGAGCTAAACAGAAAGTGGGTAAAGCTGACGTCCCTGCCTACTACCCTGCCTCAAGGGCAAATGGCTCCTTCCTCCTCCTACCTATTAAGACTCAGGTCTTTCATTCCTCCTTATGGAAAAGTTACCTCAAATGTTGGCCGGTCTCGAATGCGTTCCCAGCGTGGCCGGGTGGGCACCGTGCGCACAAAGGGGGCCATGCCCTGGGAGTACAGCTTGCTTTGCTTGTTCATGTTCATGATGTTGATCTTTATGAGTTTCCCTGGAATTCCTCCCCGGACACTGAAGTAGAACCAAGACCTGTGGGCCAGAGTAGGAGAAACAAGCTATAAAGAAGGGATGGATACAGGACATGAGGGAAAGCAGGAGAAAGCCAGTGGGAAAAGGTGATTTATTAAGGAGGGAGAAGGGGTAGGGAAAGGAAGGACAGTGGACTGCTAGGAAATGGTACATCAGAGGGCTAATAGGTTCATGGATGTGACAACATGGGAATGCCTTATTTTCTTTCCTCATACCTGTTCCCATTCTCAAATTCTGTTTCAGCACAGTCTGGTCGGGTCCACACGTTGAACTCGTAGTCAGGGGAAGAGGAAAAGCTGCTGATGGAGGCTGCTGCCCCACCTCCTACTCCTTCCCCATCACTAGACACAGATTCCACCTTCTCCACATGGGCTAGGTTCCCCGAGTCAAAGCGAGAACTGAACAGCAATCCCCCACAGCGCAGCTCCATGGCGGGGCTGGGAAAGCATCCTCCTAGCCCCACTCTGGCCCCAAGAGCTAGGGAAAGAGGTTGAGGTATGGAACAAAGGGGGTAAAAAATGAAATCAAGTTTAGGGGTGCCTGGACAAGTTAGAACTATTCTTAGGGAGTATCCTACAAAGCAAAATTTTTTCATTTCCCTTTAGGAAACCTGGAGGTGGCCTTACGGAACAGGTCAAGAGAAAACTGCTAAATGTTACAACTATATTAAAGGGACCACAGTTTGCTACAGCTTAGCTCCTCAAAAATGACGTGCTCAGTGACAACCATGTTGAGAAATACTAGACTCTAAGCTTCTCTGCAGCCTACAGATTATAAAATGTAATTAGAGAGGTTAGGTTTCCCAAGCCGGCCCAAGATAGACCCAGCACAACACACGTGGCCATCTTCACAGACGGGCCACTCTAGATCTCTAGAGATCTTTAGATTTCCTAAACTGGCTGTGCACTCCAGCCACAGGGCAGAACTAAGTTTCTGAGTTTAAATGGAAAGTTTCCTTTCTTCACCCACTCATCTTCAGATGTACTGACCAGGCACGCTTCTGTTACTCTCCTGAGCCCTCCAAAGGCTAGTTGTTCTTTTTCGGAAATACTACCTACGTTATTAGGTAAGAAAACCAGAAAAACTGGCCTTTGCTAAACCGAAGGAAACCGGGTGGATGCCACCTGCTCACCTAGTGTAATCGCAGGTCGAGCATGGTCTCTGTGCAACCCTCCTCTGGTCTGTGCGCACCGTAGCCCCTTGCAGAGGCAGCTCTGGTAGTTGCAGGTGAGTAACTGGTGTTCTTGGCACCCCCTAAAAAAAAGGGGAAGCTAGTAGAGTCCCACGTCGGGCAACCAGGGACTTCTCGTCTGGGGAACCCTCACAAAGGCTGAGCTTGCCCTCGGCAGGGTCGGGTTTGCAGACAAGGGGTGGGCTGAGACAGACCTACACCTGAGGGAGGTTGGGACTAAGGGTCAGAGGGGAAGCTACAGAAGTGGGGGTGCGCCCAAGGAAAGCGGCGAACCCCGCGGCCGGGAGGGGCGGGGTCCGCCAGCGATTGGGCAGGGGGCGGGGTGGGACTAGGGGCTAAAAGGGCCGGGGCTGGCGGGGCCTGCGCTCGGGCAGAGCCCCTCACCTCTCTCCAGGCCGGTGATCCCGTCCCTGTCCCGCTACCGAGGCGACACCTTGGGCCCCGGCACCTGGGCCCTCCACCCAGGACCCAAACAAAACCCTAGCGCCGCGGTGCCGGGACCCCGATCTGCCAGGAAACAAGAAGTCTCCCGCCTATTGGCCGCCGATAAGGCTGGCTACCGGCCCAGTAAAGCCCACTGTCATTGGTCAGAACGCGGGGATCCCTAGCACGTTAGTAGGTACCTGAGTGGAGTGCCGTTTAGTGGCTCAGGCCCTCAGACCAGGTAGGATTCTACCAGCATCATTTCAGAAGACGGTTAACGGCTTACCTGCAGGGAAGAGGAAAAGTGACCGAGAAATAAACCGGAAATGGCTCACCTGTGAAATAAAGAGGATATACATACAGTACTTACTGATCTGGTTTCTAAGTGTTTAATAAAACTGCAAAGCTACTGCAATCTCTATATTTCACAGCAATCAGAAATTCTTTTTGGTGGTGTGAATTTAAAAAAAGGTATTTGGAGGATGCGGGCATCGATCCCGCTACCTCTCGCATGCTAAGCGAGCGCTCTACCATTTGAGCTAATCCCCCAGTTGCTGCGAGCCCTTTCTCTTTGCCTTACAGAGTATCCTGAGCGGCTACTATTCAGAGGTTCAACAGTAATTTAGGACACAGTGGACGAAATATAGCAAAAATTCTTTTTAACGAAGCATATAGCAAGTAAACATATGTAATAATGACGAGGCCTTATTATAAAACGAGTGTGAAGGTTAATTTACATTTTATACCCAAGACTGACACAAAACAATCCGTTTACTTACTGCCAGTGTTTTGCTAGTTTCCACAGAATTAAATTCCCAGCCAACCAGTAAATCCAATTTTTTCCTTATGTGTGGTCGCTATGAGTATTGCTCGGCTCGACAGTAATCAATAAGCACAACAATAATAAAATTACGTACAATGTCTTAGAAAACAAAAAACATACGAAGTCCTTCGAGCCGGAATCGAACCAGCGACCTAAGGATTACTACAGCCATGCCACTACAGTCCTCCGCTCTACCAACTGAGCTATCGAAGGCCCCGTTGTCTAAACTCCTTTCCGGCTGCCCTTTAGTACTTACTAATGTTTCGTTCTTCAAGTATTTTAAGAGGTTTTTGGCTCTTTTAATTTCTGGCTTTTTCCAGGAATAAATTAAAGCTTTACGGAACAGAGAAAGTCTCAGACGGAAGTGCAAGAAAGGATACTTTCCAACTCCGGACGAAAGAAACACAAGTAATGCACTCCCTTTCCGTACTCATACCTTGTGGCGTATTCTAAAACTGCGTGCGAACGCTTGGGGATCTCGGCCACGTCCTTAAGCTTCCGCACAGCATGTCTGTATGTAGCTGTGTCGGTACGCACACTTTCTGCAAAATTGGAATGATACATTTTTCTTTTCTTTTATTTCTCTCTTTTTGCAAGTTTCCTTAGGTTTCTCCGACAAGTAGGGGTGAAAAGACATTAGCTCTTCTGACGTGCGGGACCTTCATTGGCTTAAGTAAGTTTCGAGAATGTCTTAACTGCCGAGAACGAGAAAAAATCGCTGAGTTCCCAGCGCCGCCGGGGACCCTGAGGAGGGGCGCTCCTAGCCTCCCAGGCCCGCAAGCCCCGAGCTTCCCTCGGTCACAGGCGCGTGGAGTAGCGCGTGGCGGGCTTGGTCCCTGCGCCCCTAGACACTCAAGTCCAGGTCTGGGCTGGGTCTGCAGTTCCTGGCGTAGGCCACCCGCTCTGCCTGGCGAGTTGGGGTTCAAGTCTGCTTATAGTTGGGGGTCTGCAGGTTCTGAGAGACGCCTCTCCCTTCCACTGTGGCTGAGTGGCTTCTGTGGAGTCACAATCTCAACCCACAGCTTCACTCTGCCCCTCACATCTTTCCACTCACACCTTCACCCCTACCAGCGCTATGCGTTTTCAAAACAGCGACACCTGAAACCCTACTGGTTTGGGAAGTTTTGCTTTGTAACCTGGTGAGTATGCAGAGAGAAAGGTACTTCCAGCTCCGAGGACAAACTTTGCTGCTTGAGAGACAGAGTGAGTGCTTCAAGCATCCGCACTTCACATGCCTGTGGTTCTGTTCTCTTATTTTCATTGTTAGGTGTCAAAGAGCGGACACAGCCCCACAGCAACCCTATGAACAAGAGTTCATCCTACACCATCGTCAATCTTTTCGGACTGCCTATCCTCTCTTTCGTTTTAAATCCTTTTCTTTTTCAAGCGTAATGTCTTTTTCTGAGAACTGGCTCCTTCAGACACTATGCCCAAAGCATGAGATGAAGTTTCACCATCCTTGCCTCTAAGGAGTACCCTAGGTTTCACTTTCTCCAAGACAGATTCGTTTGGAGTATTCAATACTCTTTGCCAACATCACAGTTCAAAGGCATGGAGTCTCCTTCAGTCTTCCTTATTCATTGTTCAATTTTCACTTGCATGTAAAAAAAAAAAAAAAAAAAGAAAATACCATGGTTTGGGTCAGTCACACCTTAGTCTAAACTGACATCCTTATTCGTTAGTCCTTTCTTGACAGCATTTTGCCCAGTGCAACACGTTTTTGTGTCTTGGCTGCTGCTTCTATGGATGTTGAAGGTGGATCCAAGTAAAAGGAAATTCCTGACAACTTCAATCTTTTCTCCATCTATGGTGATGCTTCCTATTGCTCCACAAGTGAAGATTTTTGGTTTTATGGTGATGAGGTGTAATCCATATTGAAGGCTGTAGTTTTTTATTTTCCTTAGCATGAGCTTCTTCACTTCTAACAAGGAGTGTAATCTGCGTAGTAACCTAGATTGTTGATGAGTTTTTCCCCCAGTCTTGACTCCACATTCATCTTTGTAGAGGTCAGTTTCTCTAGTGACCTGTCCAGTAGGCAGATTGAATAGATATGGAGAAAGCATGTAACATTGACAAATACCTTTCGTGATTTTAAACTATAAGGTTTCTCCTTGTTCTATTCAAAAGACTGCTTCTTGGTCAATATAAAGGTTTAACAAGAACACAATTAAATATTCTGGGATTCCTGCTCTTCTCAATGTTATCTGTAAGTTATTATGATCCACAAAATCAAATGCCTTTACACAGTCAATAAAACACAAACATCTTTCTGGTATTCTCTGCTCTCAGACAAGATCCAGCTGACATCAGAAATGTTGTTCATGGACTCTTCTGAATCCAGCTTGAACTTCTGGCAATTTCCTGCCAATGCTTCAGTTATCTCTCAATTATCGTCAATATGATTTTACTTTTGTATGTTATTAATGATATTATCTGACAATATCCATGATCTATTGGATTTTTTTTTTTTAGAATGGGAACAAATCTTTATCTCTTCAAAATGGTTGGCAAGGTAGCTGTCTTCCAAATTTCTTGCTACAGACTGGTGAGCAGGTCCAGAACTGCATTTGTTTGCTGAAACACTTCAGTTTGTATTCATTCAATTCCTGGAGTCTTATTTTTGCCAATGCCTTCAGGGCAGCTTGAACTTCTTCAGGTTCTTGGTCACATGCTACTTCCCGAGATGGTTCAGCACTGATCAATCTTTTTTGGTACAGTGTTGCAGACCGAGGTGGCATGAAATAAGTCTGAGACATGCTGTCGCTGCTCACAGCGGGATTGTTGTTCACAGGATACTGCTGGCAGCTCACATTGTTTGCTGTGGGGCCCCCGAGCTGACAGGCCCCCTCTGAAGTTTCCTGACCCAATCTCAACACCTTGTTTATCAAATAAAGATCTACATTCATTAGTCCAATGATAACCTTTTCCACATTTTCTACAGAGTCCTGAAGGAGTGGATTTTTTCTTTATATCTTTACTCTCCCTTCTTTCTTTCCGAAAGTCTCTTTTCAAATGTCCTAATTTTCCACAATTATAACATTTGGTTTGAAACAAATTTAAAGTTCCTTTTAAAGCAGCAGCTATCAGATTTGCTTGGTAAGAGCTAGTTCCAATGTCCATACCAGCACGTATATATTCATCTAAGGAAGCATTCTGAGTCTTCAATGGTCTGATGGCCTTTTGACATTCTGAATTAGCATTCTCATATGCTAAAGTTTTTAACAAAAGTTCACGAACCTCGGGTTGAGATACTGCTCTATCAATTGCATCCTTTAATTGAGATAGAAAATCAGTATAATTTTCATTTTCAGATTGAGTTGTTCTGATAAAAGATTGATCTCCCTTTCCTGAAATTTCTACTTTATCCCAGGCTTGCATACAGCAAAGCCTCACTTGTACAATCAATTTATCTATTTTATTAGAAAGTTCCAAGACTTGTTTACTTAATTTCTCATAAGGACTATCATTCTGAATTATATCACTCAATTCCTCCGGAGTTGGAGGTAGAGGAAATTCATCCCCCTCTGTACCAGATTCACAGTCACTCTCTTCTGAAGAGGTTTTTTCTTCTAATTTTTCATACGTCTCTTCAGACGGTAATGATTTTAATGCTAATAAGATCAAATCACATAATGACCAAACTGAAACAGGTATTGCATCTCCCTCTTGCTGAGGTCTTTGTAAAGCTCGCATAACCTCTTGCCAAGATTTTGAGTTTAACTGCTTTCTATTTGCTGGTTTAAACCAACGACAGTGTTTCTGCACATACTGAAACAACTGCAAAAATGACTTTTCTCTTAC